GGATTTTCTCTAAGCAGACATAAAGCATCGCTGTGATGTGCTGAAGATGGGGTGGCCCAGTCCCTGCTAATGATGGGCTCAGCCCCTTGTATCAGTTAGGGATTGCATTTGGTTGCCAGTAATAGAACAACCCAACTTAGGGTGGCGTAATCAAATTGAGTTTTAGTTTTCTCACTAGCAGGGATCTAGAGTCAGTTAATTTGGGCTAATGTAGTAGCTCCATGATGCTATCAGGGACCCAGGCTCTTTCTCACTTTCTACCCAGATTTTGGCAGGTGGCTTTCATCCTCATTTTTGTCACCTTGCAATCCAGCATAGAGTCTAAATTCCAGGCAGGACGAAGGGAAGGGTTAGCTAAGAGACCTAAGCATTCCTTCTTTTAAAGGCTTTCCTGGAAACCCATCCAGCAATTTCTGTGCACATCTTATTGGCCAGATTTATGTTACACCGTCAGCTCCAAGGGAGGTTAGTAAACGTAAGTTTTTTGTTGGGTACATTGCCACTTTGAAAAAACTGGGGCAAGGAAGAAGGAGGGAATAGATATTGGAAGCCAGTACATTTGTATTTGAGGACATGCTATGTGCCAGCCCTGGTGTTGTGCTCTTTCTGTGCATTGTCTCCTTTAATCCTCAAAATGACCCAAGGAGGTGGGCGTTGTCCCCGTTTTGCAGATGAGGAACCTCAGACCAGAGAGGTTAGGGGCTTGTCCAAGGTCACCCAGCTTCTATGGGCTGGAGCCAGCTCTTGAATCCAGGTCTGACTGGCTCTAATCCTATGCACTCTGGGTTTCTCAAGCTTGAGAAGTGACACATGTAGCCAAAATGGTCACCAAATGTCAGGAATTCCCTGTGTTTTTGAATAGTCACTGATTGCAGGTGCTCACGACGATAGTAATGACCTGCACAAGAAAGGCTTGTGTCATCTTAGCTGAACATCTGTGCCCTGCATGGCCAACTTCTCTGAATGACACCGTCACTGAAAGCCAAGGAATACTTCATTCTTTCCCACCACTGTGCTAAATTGAGCATTGCAAATCTATTGTGATAGATCTCCTGATTTGAGAAGTCATGTGTTACACTGGTGGGAATGCAAGGAGACAGGGAGAAGACCAAAAAACACTTTTGCCTTAAATCCTGTAACTTACTAAGTTAAATGTTTGTCAGGTAAGGTGGGGGAGTCGGGAACATTCCCTTCACCTTTCTTACCTGCAGCCAGAGCCTGAACGTTTTGGACACAAAGGCATCTTATCTGAGGTGAGTCCCAGCAGCTGTGGAAATAGAAGCTGTTCATAACCCTGAGTATTAGGGCCTAGAAAGCTGCCAGGTAGCAAGCAGACAGCCATTCTTTTATCCATCCTCTAAAAGTTTGTTTTGCAGTAAATGCTGGTGTCAATCTGAGAAAAGGGTTTATCTTTCTCAATCAACTTTATATTCAGGACGTGTTGGCATGTATCGGAGTATGTGCACTCATATGTACACACACAGTAGGGACTAATATTTGTAATTATAAGTTAATTCCAAGGTTAGAAAAGACTGGCCAACTCCATGATTTGGGGCCGGCTTATGAGAGCAGTATTAAATGTGGTTACCATGATTAACTCAGGCTTTAGGATTGTCTGGGTTTGACAGCAGAGGCTATTTTCTCTACTACTTTCTTATATCCCCTAGTGCCTGTACCAGTGGGGATATGTAGGTTCTCAATAAATACATGGAAGTTGATTGGTAAAGGAAGAGAAATCCCCGTTACAGTTGGTTCGGCTAAGACATAGTACCCACAACCCCCGGGTTCTGAAGTTGAGGACATCCTCTTATTTTATTTCATTTTATTTTAAAATTTATTTTATTGAAGTATAGTTGGTTTACCATGTTGTGTTAATTTCTGCTGCACAGCAAAGTGACTCAGTTATATATACATCCATTTTCATATTCTTTTCCATTCTGGTTTACCACAGGATATTGAATATAGTTCCCTGTGCTATGCAGTAGGACCTTGTTGCTTATCCATTCTATATATAATAGCTTGCATCTGCTAATCCCAAACTCCCAATCCATCCCCACACCTCCCCATCCCCTGCAACCATAAGTCTGTTCTCTATATCTGTGGGTCTGTTTCATAGATAAGTTCATTTGTGTCATATTTTAGATTCTACATATCAGTGATATTATATGGTATTTGTCTTTCTCTTTCTGAATTACTTCACTTAGTATGCTAATCTCCAGGTCCATCCATGTTGCTGCAAATGGCATTATTTCATTCTTTTTAATGGCTAAGTAACATTTCATTGTATATATGTACCACATCTTCTTTATCCATTCATCTGTCGATTGAAGAAACCCTCTTTTCCCTTCAATTCTAATGGCATCCATTTAGGTGCATATTCGTTTTACTACATGGCTTTTACGAGAAGGGGCTGTTTATCTTTGTGGTGGGAATAACAAGGAGGTACAGTTACTTCGGTCTCACAACTGGAGTGAGCAGTTTATAAAGCTTCAGTATCTTGGCTGGGGTGTGACCCAGAGGGCAGCCAGAGCTTTAATCTTCTAGACAGCAGCCTAAGCACACCACTAAGGGGTGGTTTCCTGAATTTGAGAAACAGTAGAGAAGATAAAGGCCAACTTAGATGACTTGAAGGCTGGGGTTACACTGATGTGGTGATGGGAGGGAGGATTAAAGGAAGAAAAGAAAGACAAAGTTAAAACCTGTAATGTGTACATTGTGGAACAGAGTTGTCCCTTTAAAAACTTACGATAAGAATTGCTTTTTCTTAAAGTGCAGGTCCCTGAATATTTCCCATATGTTCCTACTACTTGAGCTTATAGAATCACCGGACTTTAGGAATGGAAGGGTCCTTGGAGATCACCATCTAAATATGTCATTATAAAATGATGTAATAGGACTCCTTCTGCTATAAGTAGTAGAGACCAAACTCAGACTAGCTTAAGTGAGAAACAGAATATATTGATGCACAACCAAAAATTCCAAGGATATATCTGGTTTAGGTATGGCTAAATCTAGGAGTTCAGGCCAAGTCTTTAAGATTCTATTTCTCTCCATCTGCTTTTCTTGGTGTTGGTTTCACTCTCAAGTACCTGCTTCCCATGTAGTCGTAGCAGCTCAAGACCAGCTCCAACCGGAGTCCTAGAGCTAACTCTGATAGGCCTGGATTGGGTGATGTGTCAGTCTCTGAGCCAGTCACTGAGACTTTGGAGCCTCAGCTCCACAGGGACTTGTAGAGTCAGCGGCACCTTTTAAACCACAAGGACTGAGTGTGGGGGAGGGTGATCCCCAAATGAAAATTGAAATACTGTTAGAAGAAGGGGTGGGAGATGGGGGGGAAGATGTCCCCGGGTGATGGATGGAAGGAGGTCCAAACAAGCTTTCTTTTTTCCCCCCCAACAAAGCTTTGGGTTTTCATGGAGAAGTCATGAGTACATGGACATGAGATGTGAGATTGCTTTTCTCAGTTTCCATGCCTAAGTTAAGGCCAACAGTTCAGCCTGCACACACTAAGAAGCAGACCTGTGTTAGGGTTTGTATTTTCACTTTACACTGATGTTTTAACCAGCTCCCTGACTGGATTGATCTGCCCTGAATCAGTGCTGATTATTGGTAGCTGAGGTTCTGAGATATGTTGCAGGGACTCCTGAGGTCCGGCCACCAAGATGTAAATGCAGCAGCATTTCCATTGTTCGTTCTCCTGTTGAAATGGAGAACCCTCAGGCTTGGCCATTTCAAGGAGTGATGGATGTCTAGACCAGGACCTTTTTACCAAGGAGCACAAGTCGACCAGCTGCCCATTCAAGGTTCCCTGGTAATTTTTCTGGTCCTTCTGAGCTAGGCTGGAGTGGCTTCCCCTGCCTCCCCAGTCTAAACTCTGCTAAGCTTATGGAGCTGCTGCTGCTGTCTCTCTGGTATCAAGTAATGAGGAGGCAGACATAACTAGGACCCAAGGAGGTGGGGAGAAAGGCAGCTTCCAGTGCGAGATGGGCCATGAAAGAAACCTGCCCTTCTCTATGCCCCAGAAGCTCTTTAGCCTCGGTTCACGTCCTCCCCTGTCACCCCCACCCCATTCTCCTTTGCAGTTTCCAGGTCTGCATGTGTGCAAATCATGGACATGCATTTGGAGAGGCAGTAGAGAGCAGTGGCTACAGCACATGGGCTCTGCAGTCTGCCTGGGATTAAGCCCTGGTGTCTCTCTTTCCCAGCAGTATGGTCTTGGGCAAATCATTTATCTTCTCTGTGCCTCCGTTTCCTTATCTCTGAAATCTGACTAATAATACTTCAGAGAATTGTGGTCAGGTCAGTGTTCTTGCATTCCTGTTTGAGCAGTTCCCCGACAAGATAGACAAGTAGTCATATAAAGAGATTGCTGTGCCAATTCTCTACCCACCATCTTGGAAGAATGTTAATTATGCTGCTAATTGTACTTTGGGCTGTGCTGGATGCCAGTGGGAGAGACCCTGGGCTCAGGAGCCTTCTAGCCAAGCTGACCTGCCCCAGACAGACAGGTGGACAAAGAGCAAAAGGGAAAGGCATGAGAATACCACATGTACCGTTTATTTGTTCATTGGTGTTTATAGAGCTCCTACTCTGTACCGTTATTTCATGGAAGTTCTGGGCATACGGTGAATGGGCAGCTGGGCCTCTGGCCTGAAGGAGCTCATAGTCTACTTGGGCCAGTGTGATTAGTGTGATACTGGGGCCAGCTGAGATCCTGATCTAGACTGGGTGTGTGTGTGTGTGTGTGTGTGTGTGTGTGTGTGTGTGTGTGTGTGTGTGTGATATGGTGGCTTCCTGGAGGAGGTGACATTTAAGCCAGATCCCAGAGGAGTAGAAGTTAGGCCAGCAGAGTAAGGGGATAGGTATGAAAGGAGCTCCAGGCAGAGGGAAGAGCCCATGCAAAGGCCTGGAGGTAACTGGAGTGTAAAGTGTATCCTTTGGGGAGTCTTGGCTTGGGGGTTCCAGTCTGGATGGGGCTGAACGTGCTGCTGTCATTGCAGGGACATGGAGAAGGTGGAGCGGCAGGCGGTCCCCCAGGCCAACCACACAGAGTCCTGTCGAGAATGTGGCCGCATGGGACCCGGACATGCAAGGGATTGTTCTCATCGCAAACACGAGGATTCCTTTGGATTCGAGAGGCGGGAGCAGGAGGAAGACCGGTACCGCTCCCAGAGGGACCCACTGGAGGGCAAGCGGGACAGGAGCAAGGCCAGGTCCCCATACTCACCCACCGAAGAGGATGCCTTGTTCGTGGATTTACCCTGTGGCCCGAGAGGCCAGCAGGCCCAGCCCCAAAGGGCAGAGAGGAACGGTGTGCTGCCTGGCACATCTGGCCCAGGAGAGCAGAACGGGACTGGCGGGTACCAGCGGGTCTTTCCTTCCAGGACCAATGCTGAGAAGCACAGCCAGAGGAAGAGCAGCCTGGCGCATGTGGAGCAGTGGGCAAAGACCCAGAAGGTGGATGGCAGGAGGTCAGTAGTAGACTCAGGATTGCTGCCGCTAATGAGCATAAAAATGTCATAAGAGTAGCTATCACTTACCCAGCACATGCTGGTACATGCCGGCCTTGAACTCTACCTCTGTTATCTCCATAAATCCCTGCAACAGCCTTGCAAGGAGGGGTGATAGCCTCAATTTATAAACAAAGAAATTGGGGCTTGGAGAAGTATGGGAACCTGCCCAGGGCACACAGATAAGCGGCAGAGGCAGAGTTTAGACTCAGTCCGTGAGCCTCCCAAGTGCACACGAGATTATATCGGGGTAGGGGTTTCCCATTCCGCAGGGAGCATGCCTTGAGACTGTCGGCATGTAGACAGTAACTGATCTTCTCTTACTTAGCTACTTCTCTGCATCCGGGAAATATTTATAGCAGCTAGAGTAAATACAGATCCGTTTTTAATTCCAGGCACGTAGAGAAGTGCCCAGGCACTGTTGACATTAAGCTTTATTATACCCATTCCTTCAAGAAGTGGTTTTAATTATTTAGAGGGAATGCATCTCTTGCTATTTACAAAGCACTATCTGTATTTTATTATAATTTTAGATTAATTAGGACACATTTATGAATGTGAAGAATTCAGGGTCACTCAGCTTCCACATTGTCCTTAGAAGCCACTGTGTGTTGTCTTCACTTTGAAGACAGCAAATCCCCCTCGCCATCCTCAGGCTTCTATTTATTTATTTATTTTTGCGGTACGCGTGCCTCTCCCTGCTGTAGTCTCTCCCGCTGTGGAGCACAGGCTCCGGACGCGCAGGCTCAGCGGCCACGGCTCACGGGCCCAGCCGCTCCGCAGCATGTGGGATCCTCCCAGACCAGGGCACGAACCCGTGTCCCCCGCATCGGCAGGCGGACTCCCAACCACTGCGCCACCAGGGAAGCCCCATCCTCAGGCTTCTAAAACAAATCCCAGACTGGAGACGAGATAGCAAAGTCGTGGTGCATTCAGAAAACCCGCCAAGGGCTGGAGGGGCCACAGTGAATGTGTCAGAGCTCAGGCCAAGTCTGCCACAGGCCTGATACACATGCTTTAAAGTGCTGCTCTCCATTCTCCCTGCTGTGAGGCCCACACTTTCCACTATGGGGTCTGGAGGTGGTGGTGCTCCAAGGGGAATAGGCTAGGCCTCTTTTTAGGTGGGTGGGGCTGTTGTGAATATGTGGGTGTTGTATGCATGTGTGGGTTGTGTAACTTCTTTAATCTGGTCCAGGTGGGCTGTTGTGAGGTTAGATGGTGGAGAGCTCACTGGAAGTTAATGGAAACTCCCTAAGCAGTTGGTGGACATTGTTGTGGGTCAGACTAGGAGAAGGAAGGCCCTTTGTGTTGTAGCTAAGATACCTTCCCATTCCCTCCTGGGACAGACCAGGTGTCAGTTCTGTTTGATCAGATTTTGTGTTTTATTGAAAATAGCTACTGCCCAAGGACACAGAGGAGGGAAGCTGCTATTCTTGGTGCTGGGCTCGGTAGACCTCCTAGGAGGTAGTTCTAAGTGACCTTACTGCTGAGTGAGATTGGAAAGCTGGCAGGGGTTGTATCGTGCAGGTCCTCATAGTCCAAGGTAAGGAATTTGGATTTTATTTGAAAAAGCAATAAGGAGAGCCACTGGAAGGTTTTAAACGGGTAAATGATGTGATCTGATTCACAAAGAAGAGCCTAGGAAAGAGGCTGTTGCAGTAGTCCAGCATGGTGCCAATGGAAATAGAAAGAAATAGATTTGAGGTACATTTTGGAGATTGAAACCGAAAAGCTTGTCAATGAATTGGATGTGCAGGATGAGAGAAAGGGAAGAGGAACAAGGATGACCCCTTAAATTTTGACTTAACAACCGGGTGGTTGCTGAGATGGGGAAGGCTTAGGAACAAGTTTTGGGGGCAAATCGGGGTTTCCATTTTGGGGACTTTTAAGTTTGAGAAACCTATTAACTATCCAGTGAGGGAGGTGTTAGGTTAGGCACTTGGATATGGATTGTGGCGTGGAGGTTTGACATTTGGTTGGACATGCTCATTGGGAGCAATCAGTGCACAAGTGGTATCCCAACTTGGATGTTAGCAACAGAAGGGGGATCCAGTAGAGGAGACAGTGTGTCAGAGAGAAGCTACTCGTGATAAGTTAGCTGTTTCCTTTTATATGCATTGATAGCAACTCTTAGGAACTGAAGTCGGTATGGGGCTGACAAGGGCAGGTAAAAGCAGGAGAAACCAGAAATAGAAGCAGATAGAAAGGGCATGGGTTTGGCCCTGATAAGCCTGTATTTCCTACTGAAGAGTCTGGATTTAATCTTGAAGGCCCATGAAAGCCATTGATGGACTTAAAACAGGAGCATGGCATGATAGTGTCTAATATTTAGGAGGGTGGTTTGAAGGGTGTCGGCAGGGAAGAGGCCTCAGGAGATTTTTCAGACTAGATAGATATTCCTTACCTCATCTCAGTTCTCACACAGCAGGTCCATGAATATGGTGAAGAAATAAATTTCCCAGGCTATTCTGATGTACCCCACCCAAAATGAGAACGGCAGGTTTTTTTTTTTTTTTGTGCGGTACGTGGGCCTCTCACTGTTGTGGCCTCTCCCGTTGCGGAGCACAGGCTCCGGACGCACAGGCCCAGCGGCCATGGCTCACGGGCCCAGCCGCTCCACAGCATGTGGGATCTTCCCGGACCCGGGCACGAACCCGCGTCCCCTGCATTGGCAGGCGGACTCTCAACCAGTGTGCCACCAGGGAAGCCCAGAATGGCAGTTTTAATTACCCCTTGTTTAAAAAACTTATTTTTATTAAAGTAATACCTGTATATAGTTTTAAGAATTTAAGTAGTATGACCCCATCCATCCCTATTCCTGATTCCACCACCTTTGAGGCAACCACTTTCAATTCTTTTAGTAGTTTTATGTATTTATCTCTATATTTCCAAATAAGATAACTTATACTGCTGTTTCTTGAGTTTTCAGTTTTAGTTAGCTATCAACATTCTACTCTAGGTGATAAAGATTCAAGTCTCTTATCCCCCCCCCAACCTTTCCTTTCCAAAGACACACTTACCCTTATCCCAGCTTCATAATATAGCATAATTTTTGTTTAGATCACTAGTCAGTTTTTACATTATTATATAATGTGAAGTATAAATATTCACAGCTGGGCCATGTAGTATACAATAATTAAATTTCATTTGTGGTACAGTTTTTTATTTTCTGGTATTGATAATTTTCATGCTTATAGCTTGCTTAGTTTTCTCTGTACCCATTACTAATTCATCACCAAATTCATAGCTAAATGTGTAAATCTCTCTTTGCTCAGTACCCTCAAATAATCAGTAATCTACTTACAAGGTAAAAAATCCAAATAAGACCAATGGGTAAATACTGAAAAATAAGTGTCCTCCTGTTTTATTTCAGAAACCTAGATCTACTCCCCAAAGACCAACCACTATATTAAAAACAAAACAAAACAAAAATCCATGTTCTTCACCTTGCTTTGTTCCACTTAACATATCAATAAATATATCGATAGATATTTTAAGATATCTTGGCTATCTGTATCAGCACATATAGACATATTATTAATTTGAAATGGCGCAGAGTATTGCATTGTATGCATCTACAGTGATCTTTATACAATTTCCCTATTGATGGATAATTAGGTTGGTTATAAATATTTGCTATTACAAACTATGCTGCAGTGAATATCCGTGCTTAATTGTCTTTGCAAACAAGTGCGGGTATACTTGAAGAACAAATTACTTGAAGTGGAATAACTAGGTCGAAGGATATATGTGATTTTAATTTTGATTGATATTACAAAATTGACCTTCAACAATGCTGTTTGAGTTTATACCCCACCAAAAGTGTCCCTGTTTCCCCACCCCACATCATCTCTGAAAACTACTGTTTTAGGTTAACTGCTTGCTCTGGTGACCATAGAAAAGATGGTTAAATGGAGAAGAGTCTGGAAAGAACATGACCAAGTATGAGGTGGTCATATTTTGGGTAGGAGGTGAAGAAGACCTAAACAAAAGCGGTAAAGATGGTGAGGATTGTGAGGAGGGGATGGATAGGATACATAGACGTTGAGATTGGGTAGGTATAGGGCTTGGGAAACTGATTCATCCACGGCTGGAAGGTGAGGAGGGCCACAGGTGGAGTTGAGGTTAACATTCAAGTTTGACTTGGTTAATAGGTGCATGTGGCGCTATGCACAAGATGTGAGCATGGGAGAAAGAAATGAGCTTGAAGGGGAATGTGGTACCTGTGGAGTGGCCAGGTGGAGATAAGCCGTAGGTTATAGCGAATGTGGGTTCAGCTTAGGGAGAGATTTGGAAGTCATTGCCCTGGAGGTGGTAACTGGTGCCCTGGCAGTAGTCAAGATCACTGAGGGTTGAACGCTTAGAGCAGTGGTTCTTAATCGTGGCCGCACAATTTGGTCATTTGAGACCCTGCTCAAGAGATTTTGCCTTATTTGGTCTGGGGCAAGGTGAGGGCATCAGTCTGTTTTAAAAGCTCTCCAGGTGATACCAGTATATGAGAGAGGTTTGACGTTTACTGAGGCCTGGGTCCCATGCTGGAAAATCTGATTCTGATGATCCGAATTTCAGCCTGGACATCAGGAGTTTTCAAAACCGCCCCTACCCCTGGTGATTCTAACATGTAATCAGGGTTGAGAATAACTAGCTTAGAACAATAGCAGAGGGCCAAAGGCAGAACCCTGAGGATCTCCAGTCCAAGGTGGTGGGCAAAAGCAGAGTCTGCATAAAGAAGTCTAGCAGAAGATGGAGGAGGAAAACCGGAGTGTGGTGAGGGAAGTTTCATTTGGAAGGAGTCCAGTGGGCAGCATGAGACTGCTCCCTGGATGTGGTGCCTTCTAAGGAGGCTGGGTACCACGGAAGGAGAATCTGGAATGTCAGGGTCTCTCTGCTGGTCTCAGGCTCAGTAGCAGAGGCCTTTGGTTCCACTGAGCTTCTTGATGGGCTTAGATGAGTAGACCTTCTTAATAGAACTAGAATTTTGAAGTTAAGTCAGGAGGCAGAGTAATGTGAGGGGAAGGCCAAAGGGAACCAGAAGGAAGGCATGGCCATTGAGAAACCCTTCGTGGCAGGGGTGCAGAAAGGACTTTGCAAAGCTGTACCGCTGGTATAAGTTGTAAGTTATGTAAGTTATAAGTTGTGGTTGTGAAATGTCTCTACATAACTCTGGCAGCCCACAGACCTACGTTATTCTGCTACACATAATGAGGGCTGGGGGCCCATGGGGAGCTAAAGGATGAGAAGTCAACTGCAAGGAGATAAGAGGTGGTTGGGGAAGGCGTCGGACTGTCCCTAGGATGTGAGGGGGGAGTTCGAGCCCTTCTTATCTAAGGGGCAGGGAGACATTAGGTCCAAATGAAAACAGTTTGTTGGCCTTGGAGGTCATTGAGCACTCAGTAAGAGGAATCTCAGTCTAATGATAGAAATAGTTCTCAGGGGGCTGAAAAGTAAACGTGAGAGATTGAAGACGACCCTTTGAGAAGAAAGCCGTCAGCCTCTGCGTAAGCAGAGTGCTCAACGTCGGATCGTTCACTTGTAGCATATTGCATATCAGAGTTATCTTTTTTTTTTTTTCCTTAAAGATGTGTTTGTAATTTCTTACAGTCAAGTGATAAGTAGTTCTGGCTGCTTAATAAAGGAACCTCCTCCTGTTGATAGTACAGAAGAGGGATATCCCTGCTCTGTGTGTGATGGAGACTGTGCTAAATTGGAAGGAGGGTTATTTGAACTGTAATATGATCTCATATTCTCGGCTCTAGACCACACAGGGAATTATTTCTAATTGTTCTTTTAGTGCTTGGAGATGTATATTATATTTCACTTTTTAAAACTCCTTTAGAATGATGGTTTGCAAGGACAGACTGATACACCCTTAGAATCTTACCACATTCTATGAGGTTGTTTCGAAATTCTAGCCTTCCGTTTTTTCCCCGGTGTTTAAAGTAATGCATACTTGTAAAATAAAATGGCAGGGGTGGGTGTTGAGTCAGGGATGCAAACATTACCACGAGGAACAGAGTAAAACGTGGAAGTCATGCACAACCGATGTGGAAGCTCAGGTAAGGACTGCCTGCTGCATAAGTAATTGGTTATAAAACTTGATTTCACGTTTCGATATGACCGTTTTATAGGGGCTATATCAGAATATATAAGTGCCTTTTGGAAAGGGAGCCCCCCGTGGCACAGCAGGATTTGAGGGCAGGAGACCTCGAGCCTTCTTTTGGATAAAGCTGGGGTTGGGGGCCAGCAAATGGATCTGCTCTTAGGACAGAGCTGCTCTGCGCGTTCCTGCCTGCTCCAGGGTGACCTTTACCTCGTCTTACAACCCTACCTCCTGTGTCCCTCCCTCCACCATCCTTTGGTTACTGTGGTTTGGCCTCTGGCACCAGGACTCACCATTGCACTGGGGTCTTTGGGGACGTGCTTTGCCTCGTTTGCATTTTGCTTCAGGCAGAATGAGCAATGGTTAGTAAAGTCATGAATTCCCCGGGGGAAGCCCCCAGCCTGGTTTCTGCCAGTGCCACCACTGCTGTTTGAGGGTTCAGGCACTGCCCCTTCCTCAGAGACACATTCCCCTCTGACTCTGGGAAATCCATAGCAAACCCTGCCACCTGGTGGCAAGGAGACAAGCTGGGCAAGCTGAAGAGATCTTAAAATTACTTCCCGTAATTGTAAAGATAACGATAAAAAAGGAGAAGAAAGCCGCCATTTTTTGAATGACAACTACTTTTAATCCTCACAACAATCTATTAAATGGTTCTTAGTAGCCCCATTTTACAGTAAGGAGAGTGATACAATGAGTTAAAAAACAATTAGAACAGCACTTCTCAAACATCAACCACCTGGAGGGCTTGTTAAACCACAGGTGGCTGGGCCCCACCTCCAGGGTTCCTGATTTCAGGTGGGGCCTGATAACCTGCATTTCTGACAAGCTCCCAGGTGGTGCTGATGCTGCTGGACTACACTTCGAGCTTAGAACAAGGTCTGGTGAGCGCTGCTGTATAAAGATTTGTTAGATAAAGTTGATAGGTAAAGGCAGAGTCAGGATTCCAGCCCAGGCCTGACTCCAGAGCCTGTCCGTTTTGCATCCTGCTGCCTCTCAGGTTAGACTTTTAAAGCTTAATAAAACTGTAGTTGGCCCTTGCTGAATTTTTCTTTCAGAAAATAAGATGGCTGGTCGGTAGTAGTTTTCACCATCCTATCCGGCTTTTGTGTGCTGGAGTATTTGTTGAAGGGCTGGTTATGTGTCAGTACTTTCTCAGACCGTGGACAACACCGCAGAGTGTAAGACACAGTTGCTGCCCAGCAAGGATTTACAGCTTGTCTGGGGAAGAGACAGCTTACGGGTAGGAAAAGGTTACATCAATACAGGACCTTGGAAAAGTTACAGACTGTACAGTAACTAGGTCAGAGCAGGGCAGGAACCCTGAGGGCTGTGGCATTGCAGAAGGCCTCTGTGGAAGAGGCATGGGACAGTGTCCTGGAGAATGAGTGAGATTTGGTGATAGGGCAAGGTGAGCCCATACAGGTAGGGGAAGGAGGAACAGTATTATGAGAGTAAGGAGAGAGAAGTGGGAAGGGAGCACCCACTGGTGAAGGTACTGCCTGTGTGTCAGGCAAGGAGCCTGTGTTCTCTTCCTGTCTCATGTATTCTTCAGGGTAGCCTTAGGAGGGAGGTAGCTCTGTCCTCATGTTATAGGTAAGGAAGCTGAGGCTCGGAGCAGTCAGGTAAGCTGCCTAAGGTCACACAGCCAGTGGATTCAACCCTAGGTCAGACTTCCTCTGCTTTTTCTACTGCAGAAAGTTGTCCAAGTGTGTAGGAGGCCAGGCAAGATTAGGGTGAGGCCCTCACACTCAGGCTCCAGCAAGTGCAGGGGTGCACCTGAGAGGGGGGTGCCTCCTTAAATGTTGGACCCTTGACGGCCAACTTGCCCCAATTTGATCCTGGCCTGGGTAGGAGGAGCAGTGAGAAAGCAGCAGGAAGGTAAGGTGGGTTGAGGTCAGGTGCTAGAGAGCTGAGAGTATCAGGAGAAGGGGGTTAGATTTTATTTCATAAGCATTAGGGAGCCATTGATGGTTTTGGAGCACAGGAGTGATTATATCCAAGCAGTTGACTCTGTACAGCATGGAAACTAGTTAGGAAGGTCTCAGAGTTGTCTGGGTGGAGGTAGTTAATCAGGATCTGGATTAAAGTAATAGGGAAAGAAAGGAACTGATGCCAGCCACTTCCTTTAAGAACCTCCAGGGCTTGGTGCTGGGGAACATCTTGGTGACCGGGAGAATCATGAGGCATCTCCTAGAGATATGCACGCCTGATGGAAAAGCTGACTGATGGCAAGAGAGAGAGGCAGGTTTAATCATGCTGTACTTGAAGTGGGGCAGCCAAGTCGGCCTGGTAGGGGGGTTGACCCTCCAAGGTTGATGGATAAAGTGGTTTAGGAATCCCCTGCAAAGGGAAGAAGTGACTGAAGTCCTGGGTGTCTGCGTTGATTGTTCTTTGGGGTTCATACAGGGCTCTCTCACGTGCCTGGCTTTGTGGCTTTGCCTAGCTGTGTTTCCAGAAGCCCAGCAGACCCCTTGCTGGTCTTCTTACCTGTCCCCTCCTTTCTCCTCAGCCTGCCCCTGGACCAGACCCTTCCTCGCCACGGTCCCAGCCAATCCCTGTCCTTCCCAGAAAACTACCAGACTCTTCCCAGGAGCAGCCGACACCCCTCAGGGGGCTCTTCACCCCCTCCCCGCAACCTGCCGAGTGACTACAAGTACGCGCAGGACCGAGCCAGCCACCTGAAGATGTCGAGTGAGGAGCGCCGGGCACACCGGGATGGCACCGTGTGGCAGCTCTACGAGTGGCAGCAACGCCAGCAGTTCCGGCACGGCAGCCCCACGGCGCCCATCTGTGCCGGTTCCCCAGAGTTCACCGACCAGGGCCGAAGCAGGAGCATGCTAGAGGTGCCCCGCTCCATCTCTGTGCCTCCATCTCCCTCGGACCTCCCTCCCCCGGGACCCCTGAGGGCCTTCCCACCCCGGCGGCCACACACGCCAGCAGAGAGGGTCACTGTGAAGCCACCGGACCGGAGAAGGAGTGTGGACATCTCACTGAGCGGTTCTCCCAGGAAGACATGGGGCCACGCCACCAAGGTGAGACTCCGGACGCCCTGCCAGGCTGCTGGGGCCCAGCATTAGGGCGTTAGGAGCCTCACATGGTTTGAACACAAACTTGAGCAATGTAGGATAATGATAGGTAACACTTACGTAGTACTGTACTTTAGCGCTGGGTGTAGCGCTAAAGGCCTTAATTCTTACAACACCCCTATGAGGTAGGTGCTATTATTTCAGGTTTCCCCCGCTATCTGAAGGTAGAGTGTTCCTATGAAACCTTTAGTAAGCCAAAGTGGCATAAAGCGAAGAAGCAATTACATTTTCTGTGAAAGTGAAAATCCCCTTTGGATTTCGGTTATCAGGTGCTAAAGGTGGGTCTTCTGTAAAATCAAAGTGGCATAAAGCGAACTTCTGTAAAGCAGGGGATACCCGTATGCCCATTTCACACGTGAGAACTCTTAGGCATTAAGGGATGAAGTTACTTGCACACGGTCACACAACTAGAAGTCTGCTTCCTTGCAGCTTGGAAGGCAGGGAAAGATGTCTGTGCTTAACTAGTTCAATTATTTATAATAACCTGACTTAGGTTTTAAATCCGGAGGGGCTCTCACAGTTTGTCATTGTCATAACCTGGTGAGAAAGATGTGTATCCCAATTTGACGGATGAAGAGTCTGAGGCTGAGAGAGGTGCCATGCCATGTGCTTGGCTGCCCTGGTAGTGAGTGGCAGAGGCTCTGGCCCCCGCCCCCCTCCACGCCTGGCTCTCGGTGTGACCATGTCTCCCCTTCTGCAGAACTCCTCTCATCTGGACCGACGCTCCATGCCCTCCATGGGTTACATGACCCACACTGTCAGTGCTCCCAGTTTACATGGAAAATCGGTAAGCAGCACCTCCTCTCCCCCTCCAGGCGACTGATCTTATCCAGCTTTCAAAGGGCTAATCTCATCAGAGTTCTCCCCTGAGCCAGTCAGATGCAATCCCCATTTTAGAGATGAGGAAACTGAGACTCAGAGGTCGAATGACTTGCTCAGGCCCATCCCGCTGGCACTGGGACCTCCTGAGGTCAGCGGAAGAGCAGGGGGTGGGGGTGGGGGTGGCAGGGGAAGTGGAGGAGACTGTGGTGTTTATTCTCTTTTGGGCAGCATTTTGTCTGCAGCATTTTCCAGCCACCTGCCTTTTTCTCCGGTTAGCTCCTCTCCTTTCTTCCTGGTCTTTGCTTTGATTAGTTCACTGTCTTCAAAACTCAAGTCTGGGTGAGGTTGCACTGCTGGTGGCTGTTTCCTGATAAAAACTACTTCCTGCAGCTCCTTTTCTGCCGGTGCCTTTACTTGTCCTAATGACAGAATTCATGCAATAATTACTTAATGGTGTCGCATCAGTGCTGTGCCGGCACCGGGGTGAAGAGTAATTACAGCGTCGTGCTCCTGCGGTGCCTAATTTCCTCATGATGTGTCTACACACCTGCAGCTGGAGGAGCTCTCACTGCTTCTCACCCGGTTACGGCGGCACCAGGCCAAGTTGGCCAGGGTGCGAAATTTCGCCATCAGCCAGTTACTGCAGCACGAGCTGACCTTTCCCAGCTGCCAGGTCAGCGCCGGTGGGCTCTCTCAGGGCTGGGGGCCGCCCCGGGGACAGGGGAGTGACATGCTGGCCTGTGCTCCCTCGTGCCCGTGCTCTAGTCTGTCCTGCTGTCTGGCTCTCTCCCTTGTTCCTGCCTGTTTGCTGCTGGATGCTACTGCCAGACACTGTGCAGCCATCGTGGGGCCCATGCCCCTGTTGCTGGGGAGGAGGCTGCATGTGGTGTGAGGGACCTGAACTGTGGCTTCTCTGCCTGTGAGTAATGACTGCCAGGCTGGTGTGTGGTCACGTCCAAGGGCTGTGCTAGCTGTCATCCTTGTTGCCACCTTGGGTCCTCCTTGGGATGCTGAGAGGTGTGTGTCAGCCTGGAGGGAGAAGGCATGGTGCCCTCTCATCTGGATAGTGCCCTGCTGACTGTCAGAGCATCTCCACACCCCTTGTCTCAGTGAATTTCACAGTAGCCTGGGAGAGGTTAGGGAGGACAGGTGGGAAAGTGACTTGCCCAGGATCCCTCAGCTAGTGGCCTGCAGGCTGGAGCCAGATTCCAGGTCCTGTCTGGCACAGTGTTCTAAACTGTTTCCAAGACATGAGGGGTTGCAGGCAAGCTCCTCGAGGAGTAGCCAGACAGTCGTTCTCCTGGGCATCCCGAGCATCTTAAAGAAGATGCTGGTCCACACGAGCCTGGTCCCCCGAGCTGCACAGAAGTAGGCAGAGGACAGATGAGGAGGTTGAGGGAATTGTCACTATCCTTACCTGTCCTATTTTAGTGGGACCTGAGAGATACAGGAAATGTATTTGGAAAAATGAATATAAGGGAGCACATGCAAAAATCCTAATTTGTGAATTTGGGTGATTTTTAGTAACATTGCTCTGTCCCTCTTACTGCAGGACTGGGCTGATTGAGGAAGTAGGGATGGGTAAGGAGACAGTTTAGGGACAGAAATAAGATCTTGCAAACCACTGGTGTCCCTGGCAGTGCTCCTTCAGGCCTTCTCATGCTTAAAAGCACTGCCTGAACGTTTTGCATTATTTATTTTTGTTTGTTTTACACCAGAGCTCTAAACTCGGACCACCTTCCTAGCCCTGGCTTGCTTTGGCTTGCTGAGAGGCCTCTTAGTTGGCTGAGAAAGTGCCCGGACTGTTCTTCTTAAGCTTTCGTAGCCCCTCTCCCTCACAGTTAGCTTCTGTGATCCATTACATAGGAAGCACAAGTTCTAGGAAATCAAAGAGTCTTTTCCTTATTCTCACTGTTTCTGGTAATTATACTGAAGAACTCAACAGACTGTCAGAGATGACACAAGCAGACAGGTCTGCCTGGACCTTCCTTATCTAGCTCCTGACCCAGCCACCTTGGCTCCATGCTCAGCAAACGGAGCCAAAACTTCCAGGAAACTTTCTGCAGCTCCTGGTGCTTATCGTTCTAGAACCCAAGGTCAAAAGGGAACCTCCCCGGGCCACCTAGGTCATCTCCATGCCTCTTCCAGGCATCCATCCGCACCCATCAGGGGGCCATTTTCCTTCATGCATGTGAAGTGGCCCAGTGCAAAGGTTTGGAGCGTGGCATGTCCTCTTCCAGGTAGACCTCTCTCATTCTGTCTCAGGAGCTCGCCTCCGCCTCAGCTGCTCTGCTGGCCTGGTCCTCTGGTGGGATGTGTGCTGTCTCCCTCCTCCTCATCAAACTGTCCCCAGCCAATGGTGGGAACAAGCTGGCTTTCCCCACATGGTAGACCTGTGAGATCCACTATGCTGAGAGAGCTCTGAGCTGCACCGAGACATTTGTGCTTCCTCTGTGGCCTGGATGTGTTGGTCTGCTGTGGTCTCTTGTCCCCGAAGCTGCACAGGTGTAAATGGGTCACACGTGAAGCCCTGAGTTGTGTACACCTTTGGTGTTCATAACTGGCTTTTTTCTCTCTCTGCTTCATTTGAAGGCTGACGATACCTACCTCCAGCTGAAGAAAGACCTGGAGTACCTGGACCTAAAGGTGAGTGGCCTCAGGGGTCTTGCTGTCCTGGGACACTTACCTTTCTGAGAGTGTCAGCCTCGTTGGAGACCAGCCCCAAAGCCAAAGGCCTTGCAGGTCTTACAAATCTGGGTTTCAAATGAAGATGTCTCCTGTCTGAATCAGAAGGGGGATTTTTTGTTTTGGGGTTTTTGATTTTTTTCTTTGGTTGCTGTGGCTTTTGGAAATTTCATTTTTAAATTGAATATAATTGACATATAACATTGTATTAGTTCCAGGTGTACAACATAATGATATTTCTATATATTGGGAAATGATCACAAATCTAATTAACATCCATCACCATTCTTGGTTACAAATTTTTTTTTTCCTTACGATGAGAACTTTTAAGATCTACTCTCTTAGCAGCATTCAAATATGCAATACAGTATTGTTAACTGTAGTCACTATGCTGTACATTACATCCTCATGATTTATTTATTTTATAACTGGAAGTTTGTACCTTTTAGAAGAGTCTTATTTGTTGTAGCCTCAGACTCTGGGCTCTTCTCAGTTTCTTGTGAATTCTGCTGTAAGGTCTCTGGCTTACAGAATGAGGGCACGAGATCTTGCTTTCTTCCTGTCCTTGGTTAGAACCACAGGGTTCCTCCATATAATAACCAGTTGCTTCTTCAGAGCCTCCAGTGGGGCTGGGATGGGTTTGGTTCACAGGGTGCCACTGATGTGTGTTTTCAGGCACAAGCAGTTTTGTGGATTGTCTGGTTTTGTAGTGGGGGGAGCAAGTGCCACATGGAATCATGTGGCTCTGAGGGGTACCGGAGTCTCCCATCCCTCCCATCCGTGTTTAGGAGATGAACGTCGGGCCCCACCCTGTAGGTGATGACGTTCAGGCTCTAAATCAGCCTCCACAGCACAGACAGAGCTGGGAAAGCTGCTAGAGAAGCGAGAGGCATTCTGCTTGGAAGAGAGCTGCTATTGTTCTGTTCCCACAGCTCTCTGAAAGCTCCCACTGTGAAAAGCACTTCTTATGCCTGAGCCATGACTTAAGACCGAAGGAATGTGACCTTTAATTAACTGCGGGTGTGAGAGGGCGGGCAGAGGGCCCTGCGGGAGGACACCCAGGTGACTGCGGCAGGGGACATGCCTCCCTCGGTCCCCAGTGTACCTGGCTTGAGATATTTTTAACTTGGGGATTGTCATCCAGCCTTGTAGAAGCAGGGGTATGAACATTAGGTCCTAAGGCAGCAGAGGAGGGGCCTCCCCCCTCTGAGGCAAGATCAACACCTTTGGTTAGGAATCCCTCAGTTAACTTAATGTATCTGGTAATGAGCACTTGTGCTGTATCCAGCTCTGGAGAAGCTAGGGGGGATGGAAGAGAAAAATCGAGGCTCTCTGGCCTTGAGAAACTTCCAGATGTTCTGGGTCGGGGAAAGAAAGCGTTCTGAAATAACACAGACTTTTTTGCAATGAGCGTATAAAGATTTGTCTGGCCCAGTGCTCAGAGCTGAGATAGTGAGGATGACTGTGGCTGCATGCTGGGAAGGAGGTGGCGTGTGTCCAGAGCCTTGCAGAGCCAAGGCTTTAGGTTGGTTGACGTTAAAGGGAAGGGAACTGTGGGAGCCAGGGAGAGCCAGGGTGAGGGTGGTGTGGCTGGAAAAGTGGGGACAGATTGTCCAGGTTCCGGAGTCTTTCTAGGCTTTAGGAAGGAAGGTGCAGTGAAGAAAAGTCAGGCTTGGCTTTCAGACATGAGCAAAACAAGGAGGGTTCTCTCAAAACCAGGACGTTTTCTAGCTTACGTGGTATTCAGGTCACGTAGAGCATGAGTGAGTGAGTATGGTAGTCAGGTCTCAGTGCCCAGACGTGGTGGTGTGGGCCAGATGTGCAGCCCAGCCCTCCCTCCTGCGCTCTGAACCTGGGTAGGTCCTTCCACCATGCCCACCTCCCCCATCTGACCTGGAGCAGCCCCCGGCCTCCACCTGCCCTGTGTACCACCATGTCCCTGTTCCCTGGCCTCACCATGCCCGGGGCCATGCAGGTGACACAGAAGTATTTGTAGAGCATCCACGATGTACCTAGGCCTGTGGGAGAGGCGTGGCTCACAGCAGCACAGGTGTACCAGAAAACGCTCTTCAGAGTGCTTGGTGCACGGTGCGAGGGGACTTCATAAAGTGCCTGAGCCAGAGCGACAGGAAATAGGAGGAAATAGGTGTCTTCTGATTCCCGTTGGTGTGAGAGAGCCAACCTCACAGGTGGTCCTGGAGAGAAGATCCAGCTCAGCTTGGTTTTATTTAAAGATTATAGAACTTGAGCTCAATAAAAGGGATTTAGAGAGAGAGAAACTGAGGCATAGGATAGCAGAGCAGAGCCAGGAGTCTGTGTCCTGACCGCCAGCAGAAGCGGAATAACCATAGAGGGCAAAATGTGTGTCAGTCACCATGTTTTACTTCTGTTAAATTGTGTACCCGCGGCAGTAGCCCTATAAGGGAGGTGGTGTTATCTTTTTTTCACTGACTGAGGCTCAAAGAAGTAAATGACTCTCCCAAGGCCATGTTAGTAGTTACGGGGGAGCCAGTACTTGGGAGCAGCGCTGACTCTGAAGCTGGTGCTCTTAATCACCCTGCCTCCCAGCCGCTCTTACAATGCTGCTTCTACTACTGTGGACCCAAAGGTATTAAGTTTTTTGTGGAGCTGAACTGGGGTCTTTCTGCCAGGAAATATTTATGCTGTGATAGAGACAAGGTTGCATCCTTGGGGTGTTTCACCAACTAGGAGCCGTATGTGACCAAAACATTAACTAGTGATTGGAAGTTGTCGCTGTTTATCTTGAAAAACAGCTGTGTTGATACCAGAATTTCCCTGGTCTTATAGCTGCTACTTCAGTTGCTAAGCTCCTCTTAGAGAACCAGTCCCCCAATAACAGCACCAGCAGGTGAGAGACACTTGGCTTACCAGCAACATGGGTGGGAAAAGATGCTGGGGTTTGTGTTGTGTGTGAGTCATCATTCACAAAGGCTGGCATCACCTTGGCCTCCCTCCAAGAGACAGGCTTCCCTCCAAATCAGGGAGGCAGTGGGCCTGCTCTGCTCAGACCCAGCTGGGGTGTAGAGTTCCCAGATGGACGTTTCACTTCAGGATCCAGACGAGGGAAGGGCTGGAATCAAAGGAGAGGTGATGAGGGGCTGCAAGAACTGTGGCTGAGGAGTGTATTAGGCGGGATGCTTTTGTTGGCAGGTATCCGAAACCCAAGTCAGCCTGCTGAGCCACAAGGGGAATATACTGGTTCACGTAGCCAGGGCTTGTGTTCCAGGAGCTCAGGCCATGCCACCAACTGTTCTACTTTCCACACGGCCAGGGAAGAAACGTGGCCACTTGCACACTCAGGTTGGCTTCATCCCAGCCGAGCCTCCCTGTGGAGTGAAGGGTGGGGTATTCCCTAATGGAAAGCAGACTGGGCAGAAACAAGAAACACAGCAGCAGGCAGCACAGCTACAGTGTGGTCGGTTGAAGGAGGAAGGGGCAATGCAGGCAAGACATAGAGACAGTCTATAAAGCTTTAAAATGTTACCATGTGTCTTCCGTGGCTCTGAGGGGCGATTAAAACAAGTGGATCACAGCTACAAGTAGACAGGTTTTAGTTGAATAGAAGAAAGACTTATCTAAAAGGGCCACCACAGGTCACAGTGACCTCCCCATCACTGGGGCACAGCTGAGGCCAGGTGAGCACTGAGTGGGATGTGACTGGATCAGGAAAACCCTCAGGCCCGTTGACTCTTGAGATCCTGTGACGTGCTAGACAAGATGAGCTGCCGCGAGCCCAGTGGGGTCCGAGACGAGGGCCTCGGAAGACACAACTGAATGGGCGGTGTAGCCCAGCCTGGTCATGGAGATGGCGCCGAGCACAGCCCCGCTGTGACCAGCTTCTTGTGAGAGGTCCCTCCTGGGTCCTTGTGGGGAGAGGTAAGCCTCTCTGGAGAAGGATGGTCCCCCTGCCCCCACCAGGTTGGCACAGGGTCCCCCGCGTCCCTGTCCCAAAGGCCGCAGACTTAAGGATCCAGAGCCCATGTCCCCTCCGCCTCCATCAGCTGGTGCTTGGGTTCCAGAACCCCTTGGTGGTGTTTGCCCACATGTATGGAGCTTGGTCTCCTGAAGTGAGCATTCCTGCTGGGGTGCCGAATGAGCAAATAAAAGCAGACTCCACTCTCTTAGAAGATGCTCTGTGTTGGTGTCCTCTTTGGAAATGCTTACTTTCCTGGCATTTTACTTGGCAGTGCCAGGGTGGAAAGGGTTTCACGCCGATTGAGCATCTGTCCTTGCCTGGCAGTTGTGGGGCACCCGTTGTTCATTATCTCACTTAATCCTCTCAGCACCTTTGAGCAAATAAGAATTATTATCCCCACCTTACTAATCAGGAACCCGTGTCTCAGAGAGGTAACTTCTGCAAAGGTATGCAGCTGAGATTCGAACCCTGTGACCAACTTCACACCTGCCTCCTTTCTTCCGTGTGCCATGTACCTCATCTGCCCTGAAGTTGCATTCGCTGAGTTGTATTTCTGGCATTAATGTTCTGCTCTTCAGAACCCTACACCGGAGCCAGGTCTGAGAAGGGGGTATGAAGTTTCCCTGTTGTTTACGGCTTGAATTGTTTTTATGCATCTGGGAAGCACAGCTGGTAAAGTGAGGTGGGGGAAGGGCACCTGCAACTACACAGGTGGTGCCTTTTAGGTGGAGCAGATTGTCCCTAGTGAGGAACGTCATCAGTGGCTCCAGGTGCCTGGCCTTTGGACTTTTCCTGACAGAGCCTGAGATCTAGGCTTCTCTGTTCAGAGTCTGTTTCCAGTTAGATTCTGGAGCAGGGTTCTTAAGTCATGGTCTGGAACACCATCTATCTCAGAATGATCTGGGAGCTTGATATAAAATTGCAGATCTGGGGCTTCCCTGGTGGCGCAGTGGTTGAGAGTCCGCGTGCGGATGCAGGGGACACGGGTCCGTGCCCCGGTCCGGGAAGAACCCACATGCCGCGGAGAGGCTGGGCCTGTGAGCCATGGCCGCTGAGCCTGCGTGTCCGGAGCCTGTGCTCCGCAACGGGAGAGGCCACAACAGTGAGAGGCCCGTGTATCGCAAAAAAAAAAAAAAAAAAAAAATTGCAGATCTGGAGGGTTCTGTTGAATTAGAACCGCTGGAAATGATGCCCAGAATTCTGTGTTTTTAAAATCAACCTCTGGGGTGATTCTTGTGCACAGTAAGCAGAGGTCTTTTATTCTGAAGAGAGATTGTTAACGCTGGGCATGAACTAGAGCAATGAATATGGATGCTTGGGTCTTACCCCTTAGAGACTTTGATTTAATTGGTAATACTCAGGTGTTACTCTTTAAGAAAGAAAGACACTCCCTAGGTGTTCTAATGTGTGGGTATGGCTGAGAAACATGGTTTAAAAGCAGTGGTCCTCAGAGTGTGATCCCAGATGAACAGTGTCAGCAATTCCTGGGGCTCTGTTAGAAATGAGCAGTCTTGGCTCCCACCTCAGAGCTGCCTAGTGAGAACCTTTGGAGGTGGGGCCCAGCAAGTGTGTATATTCACAGCCCTCCAGATGATTCTGAAGCATGCTCAAGTGTGAGAACCATTTTTCAGTGGAGTGATTCCCACTCCTGGCTGCACATCAGACTCACCCAGGAGGGCTTTTAAGAATCCCAGTGCCTAGGCCCCACCCCAGGCCAATTACATCCAAGTTTTCTTGGAGTGGGACTCAGGCATCAGTCTTTTAAAGCTCCTGGGTGATCTCAGTGGTGGAGGCAGGGTTGAGGTCCAGTGTCTTAGTGGGTGGGGACGGTTCCTTCTCAAAGGAGCTGGAAGCATTTGGCATCATGGGTAAGACATAGTGGTTTAGGTGTGGAGGCGAGGGTCTGAGGGACCAAAGGTGGGTGGGGCTGAGACTAATGCATGGCTCCACTCTAAACTACAGATTCAGTATCTTACAGTATGTGATGGGGGGAGGACAGGGGAAGAAGCAGTCCCCTCTTGTCTTCTGTGGCAGAACCAGTAAGGACATGGGCACTGAAATCAGCACTCTCACGTAAACTAGCCTGCGCGAAGATCCTTCAGGCAGCGCTTATGATCCGCCATTTACGGATGAGGGAACTGAAGTCTGGAAAGGTCCACCGGCTGGGAAGCCGCATAACCAGACTGAGACACACTCACTTGAATTGCACGACGCACATCCTCCTTAAGGTTTCCCCTTGCCAGTTCCCCAAATTCTGGCTCCTTCAAATGTCATTTGATGTCTTACCTGTTACGATTTGTTGTATTTGCCTTTTTGTTTGGAACAGATAAAAAATAATGAACCTTTGATCAACGTGCTTTACAAAGTGCTGAAGAAGTCAGCACAGGGCTGTCGGCCCAGGAGAAGCGTAAGATGATCTGATCTGTATCTCCAGGCGGGGCCATTCCATTGCTTCTGGCTCAGTGCCGACTCCATCACTTGCTTCACCAGGGGCTCTCCTGACCGCCTCCAGGCTTCCCGCGAGTCATTTCGGTTTATTTTCTGTCTATTGAAGCTCCCTCAGCGTTTTGGCTGGTGCACCAGGCTGAGCCTCTCATCAGTAGTGTTTTGTGACTCCATCTTTTGTGCTGCCATTGGGGGTGGGGGGTGGGTGGGGCTTGCCTAGCTTGCCACCAGCTTGTGTTGTGTCCCCATTCTCGCTCGTCTGCCTTCATGGTGAGGGCTGCCCTAGAGCCTGGGTTCCTTGGGAGGGAGCAGCAGCTCCTGGGCACCTTGGAGGAGCTGGGGTGTCCTGAGATTCCACCGTGGCCCTGGGATTAGGGTGGCTCTTCTTCAGGGCAGGGTGTTGATGTTTGAAAACATTCTGGAGCTGGACTAGAACAAAACGCCCACCTCCCCACCATCCACCCTTTGAGAGATGCAGAGGTAGTGCCTGAAACGTGGCCAGCTTTTATAGCATTCCAAGGGAGGCTGCAGGTTGGAAAGCAGGAGCTGTGTCCAGTCATCTTGAGCACTGCATATAGGTGTCTTGGGATGTGCTGGAGGGGAGTAAGAAGCCTGGGAGGCCTTTAATTGCTTTCCGATGTGGAGGCTCTTTCAAATGGATGAGTGCCCACTAACTTTCACTTTTTCTGGTGACAGAGCTGCTAGGGACCCATAGTTGATGTTTTGAATGGATTTAAACATTGCTATCACAAATGTGCAATTTTAAAAGGAAAATGAGATGTAATATACTGTTTGTGGCTGTGTCTTAGAAGCCTCAGCTCTCTGGAACAAAGCTAAATTCAGAAGCTTCAAGGGCCTGTGAGTTGTGTAAACTGTCACGAAGCCCCTGCTCTAAACCCTGTGACCTTTACTCCACAGAAAGAGGTCTCAGGCCCTGAGCACAGCCAGCTCACCTCGTTTTGTCACATTCACAGACTCACTAAGCAAACGCTTCTCACGCCGGGCCCTGGGCTGGGCTTTGAGGGTACAGAGAAAATACATCACAGTCCCCACAGTCCCTCCTAATTAGGTTATTGTCAAGTGAGGGGAGACAACAGATCATCTACTAAGGCCCATAATAGTGGCAGACACAAGGGGTGGGAGGATGTCCCTTGATGGGTACCAAACCCAGATGGAGGGAGGGAGACAGGGAAGAGCAGCAAGTGTGTCCCTTCTGCTGAGTTTCTAATCCTCGTAGACTCAGTCATTTGAACTCCTAATTCATAGCACCTTAAAAGCAGCACATTAAAAGGGGACAATGACAAAGTTACTTCTTAGGAAAGAGGGAGTGCTCATATCCTGAGAGAGAGAAGAAACATTATAAGTCAATCTGAAATGGAAATGAAAGCGCAGAAATTTGGGAGCATTTAGCTAGATAGGCAAATAGTCCTAATCACGAACTTCTAAGAAATTCTATATTACTGATTTTTGTAATGACTCTGATTCATCCCCCAAAAGGTTGAATTTATATTCAGTGTTCTGTGAAGGTAGTAAAGGACATACTTTTAGAAAGCTTTCCATCAAAAAGTTTAAAAGACAGCTTTCTGAAAGTGCGCTTTTTGTGCAGAAATACCTCATTCCTTGCCTGATGGTGCTGGTTAAATGAGGCATTGCTCAGTTAGACTCTCTGCCTAGCTATTTCAGTATCAAAAACATATCACCTGGAAGAAGCTTCAGTGACATAAAGGGAAGAGTTTTGCTAACAGGAGAAGTCCCCAAAGAATTATCTCAATTTGAAAATGATTTCTTCCTAGGAAGCGAGGCAAGGGCCAGCCCCTTGGAGAGTAGACAAGCTTACGGCCCCTCACTTTGGCAAAGGACTGTGACACAGAGTGAAGACTCCCCAACCGCTACCTGCTAGGGTCCCAAGTCCTGCCTGGGAAATTCAACACCTGCCTGGTGTTGGTGGTTCACCAGGATTAATTCCCCTTCCTCGCTTCCCACACTGCGCCCCCTACCCTTGCAGGAGCCAGCATTTTTTGTGGATTGTTGCTGTGGTCAGTGTGTTCTGTGACAGTGTGTATGGTTGTATGTACACATACTTTGCCAGTTTGAAGAGCAGAATTTGGCTGGAGTTCTACTTTTTCTAGGACTGACCTACATGTATTTCCCTTTCACCTACCTGTGGGGCAATAAGCAATTTGCCGAGTGCATTCCAGTGTGCCAGGCCTTCCGTTCGGGGCTGACTTTACCAAGATAAAGAAGACAGTGGTCCCTGTCCTCTACTGTGCCGCCAAAGGGAGCAGGGGAATGAGTGGGGGCAGGTCTGCAGCCCAGGCTCAGCCTTCAGCTCAAGGCGTGGAGAGGGCTTCTCCCTTGACCTTTAGATTTGGGCACATGGTCGGCTTGAGTTTTGAGGGGAATGTTTGCTAATATATCTCTGCTTCTGATTCACACTCACAAACTTAATGGAGTAGGGAGAAAGTGAGGACCATTTCTCCAGCAGCTGTGTGTCCCTCCATACTGGAACCCTTTGCATAGTGACTCTGCTATGGCTAGCTCCATCCTCCATTTCTCTGGGCAGATTTGCAAAATGGAGTTCAGCCAGACGGCCTCCCCTACAAGGGGCACGTTTGAACTGGCCATCCCTGACCATGGTTTGGCCATGGGGGTACATCTGTGAAAATGGTTCCCCTGCCCCTGCACAGTTTTTGACGAAGAAGGAGATTTGGAGGAAATGAAAACACGGACTAAAAGAGTTAAGTGTTTAACTTCGCAGGTGTCAGTGAGAGATGGGCAACGTGTCGCCCACGCTGGGTCTAGGGAAAGATGGCAAATGTTGTGAAATTCCACTGGCTTCTAAGTTTGGGTGATTTTTGTCGACTGCTTTGTGGTTTCCTTTCTTGAGAGGACAGGGTAGCTCGTAACTTGTATTGCAAGTACAGCCATTCAGGGATCAGTTGAAAACCTCAGCCAGGAGCAATCCAGGTTTCTTCTCTTGGCCAGATCCTCTTCCCAAATAGCAGAAGAGTGAGGAAGGCTGATCTTAGTCATGGGGAGGTGGGCTGTTCAGACTTCCTTGAAGTAAGGCTCAACGATGCCCAAGGGATTTGCTAGTTCTTCTTGGTCCACCCATCCTATGGCTCTGGGCGGGGTCGTGGACTTCTGTTAATTATGTTTAACCCCAGGTTTAGTAGCAAAACTCTCTTATCAGTGGCGAATCTTCCACGATTCATACTGAACTCACTTGGGGCAAATTTAAGCCTTTACAGTTGATGATACTGTAACTTGAAAGTCTGTGTTTTCTTCAATTTGAGAAATTTACAAGTACTACTAAAAGATCTCAAAAAGGTTTTCTTTTTTCCCGGAAATGACATAAGCATAAAAATACAGCAGGTATTGCCCAAGTTTTTGCCCTTTCCATGCCGTGACCCTACCTGCCACTGACGAGACTTCCACAGCTGTCCGTTGTAGGGGTAACTTTCCTTCTTGACTTCTGATTCCGAACCCCGTGGTTAAACCTCCTTTAAATTGTTCACCTCCCAGATGACAGGCCGGGATCTTCTCAAGGACCGAAGTCTGAGGCCAGTGAAGATTGCCGAGAGTGACATCGACGTGAGTGAGCAGAGTAACAGGCTGACCCCTCACCTGCCTGCTGCCTCCAGACCCAGGGTGGGCAGCTTCAGGCAGGGCTTGGATGGATCTGTAGCCAAAGGCTTTTGGATCATGCTCCAAGGCCATGGCCTTTGCTCATCATCCCAGGCCCTCTCCAACCTGTTCTTGTTCACAGGTTAAACTGAGCGTCTTCTGTGAACAAGACAGGATCCTCCAGGACTTGGAAGACAAGATACGAGCCCTTAAGGAGAACAAAGTATGTATATCAGTTTTGCGTAGTCTTGGGCTGGGTGGCAGGGGTTTTGTCATCCTGTGTTTCCTCAGTATAGACTGGACTCTCATGTTAGTACTGGACAACAGATGTCTGTTTATCCAGAACAATGTCTTTGAATTTAAAGGGTATTTCTTGTGGGGTTTCTGTCTGAACCCAGAGGAAACCTTACCGGGAGACCTCAGCCTACTTATTCCAAGTACTACCTCCCTGACCTTAATTCTGCTCTGGGCCACCCCCACCTCTCCCTGGAAGCCCTGTGAGGTGAGCCTGGGAGAGGACGGCTCCACTGGCTTGCAGTGATGACCCCAGGCTCCTGAACCCCAGGGAAGCGGGGGCTGCCTTGGAGAAAGTGGCCAGAGTCGTAGCAGGGCAGAGGCTCTCACTTCCTAAAGCTCCTTTCCTCTAAGGATCTGGGCCATAGGGGAAGCAAGTCTGGTTGGGAGGGGAGGAATAGGCTGGTAGCCACTGATGTTTGGTCTCTTAGACACTTCGTGTGAATTTTTTCTTTTCCGCACTTTAACAAGGCATTATATTTGTGACGCTCAAGGTGTATAAATAACATGGCCTTTTTATTCAAGTGCTTAGAGAGTTTTCCATCTGTTCTTTGATTTAGCCTCATAGTTTATCCCCTAAGGAGTGGATGGCCTAATGCCCAGTTTATAGATGAGGAAACAGGCACAGAGCTGTTAGGTGATTTGTCCCAGGAGGCCACCCAACGGGCAGAGTCAGAGCTGGAATCAGAGGCCTTGACTCTCAGGCCCCTAGCTGGGCGCTGGCCCCTGGCCCCTTCAGCCTCGGTTCCTGGCGTGGCGGGGCGGGGTTGGAGGGGACGGCCTCCTGGGAATGTTCTGCCATTCTCTTGCTCTTTGGCCCCGGTCTGTCTGGTGCAGGATCAGCTGGAATCCGTGCTGGAGGTGTTGCACAGACAGATGGAGCAGTACCGAGACCAACCCCAGCACCTGGAGAAGATTGCCTACCAGCAGAGGCTGCTGCAGGAGGACCTTGTCCACATCCGGGCAGAGCTCTCCAGAGAGTCCACTGTGCGTAGAGGGTGTGGAGGGTGGCAGACGCTCCCCTGCCCTCCCCAGCATGGGCTGGCCAGGGGGCTGCTTTTCTCACCTCCCAAGCTGTAGTGGAGTTGGTGGCCGGGGGCGAGGGTCTTGGCAAAGGAGAACGCCTCCAGGCTGCCTCCTAACAGTAGCTTACCTTGTCTCTACCAGTGCCTTAAGGTGCTTTCTGCCAGTGACTCCTGGGTGGCTACAGCGACACCCAAGGGGTCAGATGTTTGAGAGCAGCCTGCAAGACTGTTCCCCTGATCTGTGCGCAGTTAACTCTGAGACGTCAGAATTTCTACTCTTTTATTTGTCTATCTGATGTGGTACAGGCCCTTTCTGCCAGAGCTGGGAACCAAAGCATTCCCAAGGGTGGGAGAGGGGACGGTGCAGGTGGCCTGTCTCTCTCCCCAGGCCTGCCTGAGACCCACCAGGCTCCCCTTCCCTCTTCCCCTGTCGGGTCAGCAGTGGTCAGGAGCACAGGTGCTCATGGGGCCTTCTGAGGGGTGGGCGTGGCATAACGAAGAATCAGAAGCATTTCCTTGGCCAACAGGAGATGGAAAATGCCTGGAATGAATACCTGAAGTTAGAGAGAGATGTGGAGCAGCTGAAGCAGACCCTGCAGGAGCAACACAGAAGAGCCTTTTTTTTCCAGGTGACCCAAGGGTTCTTCATCCCTTCTGAGCTCTGATTTCTTCTTGGAGTCTTCACCTGTGAGGGATGTTAGCCCTACCCAGGGGCCTTCTCTTTTTGCACCTGGACTCAGCCTGCTCACCACCCCAAGCGCTCCCTTGGGGAACCCTTGCCCCAGCCAGGCTGTCGTGAGAAGCCTCGCCTCAGCTCCCCCTGCCTCTTTGCTCTCAAAGACAAGCTCCTGGGCATTTTTCTAAGGGTTTTACTACTGATCATTTGGGGAAACAGCCCCAAGGGGAGACAGTAGTGACCTAACCTTGCAGATACTTGAGGGTGATCTGTGTTCCTGGTTCTTGGCCCTGCCTTGGGTTCCTAGCTACTCACTTAGCAGCAGGAAGCCCCGCCTCCTTCCCCCCCAGACTCCTGAGGATAGATGTTATCAAGCCTTCACCTGATCAGTAGTGTGAATTCAGGCGAGGTGGGGTGATACCCATTGCTGTGGCCCCTGCCTCACTCAGGAAAGGCAGCCTTAGAGCCCTGCCTTCTCTGCCCTAAAACCAGGCTGCCCCGCTGATAGCTACCTCTGCCTCCAAAGCTGAGAGGAAGAAAGGCCCTGTGTGGTTTTCCTTCTTCCAGGTTGGGTCCTGCAGCTGCCAGTGTTCCCCCATTGGGTGCCCAACCAGGCTTCTCCCCCACACTCAAAGTTTTGAAAATGGAAAATAGCCTGCTTTTGAACCTAACTTCAGATCTGTATCTCTTCTTTCAGGACCCTGACATAAATTCTATTTATTTGAATTCAGCAAGCATTAACTGAGGGTTCTTGTGTACAAGGCAGCCTGTTGGGCCAGTCTGGGGGCCAGGCTTGCTAATTGATGAACTAGTTCTAGCCAAGCCTCTTCATTCAAGTGACTTAATGAACGTGTTGACTCTCTTCACATCAGCATCACCCCAGAAAACTGAAGGAATTCAGGAGGAGGTTTAGGTTTGTGGACTAGGAGGCTTTTCCCAGGCCCTGCTATGCTTCCACTCACCTCCACTCAGCGCTTTAGAGCTGGTCCCAGAGAACCTGGTCTAGGAGTATGTGGAGGAGACTCTTGCCTGTAGTTCAGGGTTGGCCTGTGAGGTCACGCAGAACTTGTCTGTCTCCTGTGGCTGTTGGGTTTTTCCCATAATTTCCCTTCATTTGAGTTAACATTTTCCTCTTCTTTTTGTATCCCCAGTATTTAGCATAATGGCTTGAAAATAAATAGGTGAATATTGTTGGCAAAGTCCTTTAAACAATTGTTTCTAGTTACTAGTTCCTTGAACTGTTCGGTCTCATTAGACTTATCTTCTTGGACTTCAACCATCCACATTAATTTCAGCCATAATTTTTTTTTTAGCTTTTCATTCCTTATGTTTCTTTAATTATACAGAAAACACATAAATGCATCTCCCTGGAAAGTCCAAACAATGAGAAGTAAAACTAAAACAGGACACAAAAGCTCCTCCTCCCTCCTTCCCTTCTCTGCCCAGTCCCTCACCTTCCCAGCATGTAATCAGTACCATCGGTTTGCAGTGTTGCCTTCCAGACCATTTTCTGTGCATTTCCAAACGTATGCACGTACATAGTATCATATAATTTATTTGGGGGAGGGAGTTGGGCTTACTTAGACAGGAATCATACTTACACATTGTTTGGTAACTTGCTTTTTTTGTCATAACTGTATGTAATGGAAATCTTTCCAAGAAAGATACCCCCAAGTTTATGCTGCCCTGTATGGTAGCTATTTAAATTTAAACATAAATTAATTAAAATTAACTAAATTAAAAATATATTCCTTAGCCACACCAGAATTATTTCATGTGGCTAGTGGCTTTCTGTATTGGACAGCACAGATTATGGAAGATTTACATAATCTCAGAAATTGTATTAGACATTGTTGGTCTTGATGCTACAGATTTCATAGTGTGTGGATATCCCATACTTTATTTAGCCATTCCTCTTCTGATGGGCATTTAAGTTATTTGCAGTGTTTTGCTTTTATAAATGGTATCACAGTGAGCATCTATGTAACTGCCTTTAGAGCTTGTTTATGAGCATTTATCTAAGATAGGCTCCTAGGAGTGGACTTGTTGGGTTGACTTGAGTGTACATCTTAAATGTTGGCAGATACCGCCAAATCACCCTCTAAAAGGCTGCACTCATTTGCCCTCCCACCCATAGTGCATGAGAGTACTGAACCTGTTTACCCACATCCTTGCCAACACTTGATGTTATCGGTCTTCTTAGTTTTTGCCAGTCTGCGTGCTGAAAAAGGACATCATGTTTTTATTTGCATTCATTTAATTACTAGTAGGTTAAACATCTTTTTTTATGATTATTGGCTATTTGTATTTCTACTGTGCCTTACTTCGTGGTAATGTAACATACAGCAGGCCCAGGATCCACAAATGGGTGCCATGTATAGGTCTTGTCACGGACTTCCTAGAGAACTTAGCCCTATAAGTCACTAGGAGGTAGGCCAGTCTGAAGCCTGGTCCCTGCAGCTTGATTTCCACCTAGCCTAGTGGCATTGCTCATGCTTTCCCTGAGTGCCACAATGACCCGGGAAGCTCACAAAGCCTTTCTTTGAGCCGGCTCTGTGCTAACTGCTTTGGGGTAATTCTAGGCCAGGCAAGCTGTTAGAGTCCTGAATAAATCATTGACGCTGGAGATAGGCTTGCAGCCCCATATGCAAATTCTCAGCAGTGGGGCTTGGAAACTCACCCCTCTTTAGCCAGGGTTGGCTGTGAGAAAACCCATAGCCTTTTGAGTAAAGATGAGTAGCTTTATTTATGAAGATCCTCATGGCCACCCAAGCAGGGAAACCAGAGGGTAAGAGAACTTCCAGGTAACCCTGAGAGTCAGTGAGAGGTGAGGCTACGTGTAGGTGTCCCTACATCTGGACAGTGAGTTCAAGCCTTTGCTGAATGTAGTACATTGGAGCCTTCCTGCTCGGTGTGATGTGAGGATACAGGTATGAAACCCCACTCTCGTGTTCCCCAAAAGCTTCCTTCACCTTGTCGTTAAGCTCTGAAATTCCATCGTCCTTGGATTGAAGTTCTCTGGCCTTTGCTTCTCTCTGCTCTTCTCTTACATGTTGAGGTGACAGGCAAAATGGGGGCAGGATTGTGAACTGACAGGTAGAAGTACACCAGGTAGACTGCCAGGGGAGGAAAGAGAGAGAGAGGGAGAGATGATCTTAACCCCATGCTCCATCTTCACCTGTTTCCAAACACTCTGCTTGGGGACCTCAGCTCTAGAGATAATCCTGTTAGCTCAGTAACATGTCTGTTTTAGGACACTCGTTCTTTAGTGGGGAGCTGAGCATTAAGCCTGTTATTTGCTTATCAGCCCTGAGGATGTGCACTGGCGTTGGAAGGGTGGAGAGAGTATGAGAGTGTGAGCTCCCCTTAGGAGGGAGGCTTCAGACGTCTGTTGTTATGCCTGTTAGATAGTATTTGATCAGGGAATTTTATGTGATTGGTCCTTTATTTATTCAGCGTACATGTACTGAGAACCTGCTCAGTGCCCAGCCCTGTGGGGATGTATCCAGGAGCAGTGGTCCATAAATATCACACACGTGAGAACGCTTCCAATTGAGGCCAGCGATGTACCTGGAAAGGAGATAGGGGTGTGGAGCCTTCCTTTTTAAGTCCATGGGGTGGGACCATGATAATTTTTTCAAAAAGAATACCATATCTGGTGTTTACACAACTCGATTAAAAGGTGCCCACGACCCTTTAATCACAGCAGACCCTGCTCACCTCTTTCTAGGGCCTCTTCCCTGGTGGTTTGGGTGTAGCTTCTCAGAGTTTGCACATGGTTGTATAGCCTGCCTTTTTTCCCATCGTACTTTAAAAAAAAAACAACAGCTTTATCATGTAATTCACATACCATAAAATTCACTATTTTAAAGTATGTAATTCACTGATTTTTTTTTTTTTTAGCACATTCACAGAGTTGGGTAACCATCCCCCCAGTCAGTTGTGTAACATTTCCATCAAGCCCCCAAAGCAACCCGGTACCCATTTACAGTCACTCCCCACCCCCACCCCAACTTTCTACCCCTGCTCTAGCCAACGACTAATCTACTTCCTGTCTTTATGGACTTAATCTATTCTGGACGGTTCCTATGAATGAAATTATACAGGATGTGGCACTTTGTGTCTGGCTTCTTTCACTTAGCATCATGTTTCCAAGGTTCATCCATGTGGTAGCAGACATAGTACTTCATTCCTTTTTACTGCCACATAATATCCACTGCCCCTTATACTAAATCCCACATCCCAAGATTCAGCTCTGTCTTCAAAAAGAGGCTCTTTATGTTCTAGGGATGGTGTAACCTCTAGTCCTTGCCTTCTCTTCCCTTCTGCCGTGGTTGCCTAAGACAGTCTTTTTTTAAATTGTAAAATATATGTAGCATAAAAACTTACCTAACCATTTTTAAGTGTACAGTTTGGTCCTGTTAAGTGGATTCACATTGTTGTACAGCCAATCTCCAGAAATGTTTTTTATCTTGAAAAACTGCAACTCTGTACACATTAAACAACAATCTTCATTCCCCCCTCCCCCCAGCCAAAAGTGGAGCTCTGTACCCATTAACAAAACAATCCCTGTTCCCCCTCGTCCCAGCCTCTGGCAACCACCCTTCTATTTTTCTGTCTCTGAATTTGGCTACTTTAGATAACCTCATATAAGTGGAATCATACAGTATTTAAGGGAGTCGATTTTTAAGTGAGGTGGAAACAGGAAAGGTAGACTGTGAGAGCTTCTCTGAAACTTCTCCCCTGGACCTTGGGCGTCTTTCACGTCTGCACTTGCCCAGGAAGCCATGAAGCAGGCTTGGCTGTAGACCTGGTGGGGTTTCCAAAGGGTATACTGCCCCCCAGGGTGAGGGGCTCTGTCTGAATGACAGCAGAAGTCCTAAGAAGAAACTTCTGGTGAGGAGCTAAGAAGGAAGTGAACCCACTGCCTCCTCTTCCTCAGGAGAAATCGCAGATACAGAAGGATCTCTGGAGGATCGAAGATGTCATTGCAGGCCTGAGTGCAAATAAAGAGAACTTCAGAATCCTGGTGGAATCGGTCAAAAATCCGGGTGAGCGGGCCATCTTCCTGGGGGTGGGGGTGGTGGAGGCCAGCGCCTGGAGCCTGGGGGATGGCCCCTGGGGAGGTCGGGCCTTCGTGGCCTAAGTCACTCCCCTTGTCCTCTGAGGAAGAGGGTCTTTGTTTCATCGCACCCTTTGCTTCTCTCCACACCCCTCAGAGAGGAAAACAGTGCCTTTGTTTCCTTACCCGCCTGTGCCTTCAATCTCCTCTTCTGAGAGCAAGCCGTCCCTGCTGCCCAGCCCGCCCACCAGCCCCATGCGGACCCCTCTGGAGGTTCGACTCTTCCCCCAGCTGCAAACCTACGTGCCGTACCGACCTCACCTGCCCCAGCTGAGGAAGGTGATGTCTCCCCTTCAGTCACCAACCAAGACGAAGCCCAGAGCTGTGAGTATTGATGACCAGGAGCTGGGCGCTGTCGTTTCCTCTCTGGCAGACGATTGTCCTTCTCTGTCCTCAGGCCCTCTTCTCTTGGGAGAGAAGCTTTTAGGGAAGCTTGGGGAGACAGACCAGCCAGAGTCCTGAGGGGTTCCTGAGCCATGAGCGGTTAAGGAGAGGTAGGGGCTCCTGCCGTTGTGCTTAGTCTCCCAGAACTGGAAGGGCCCTTAGAGGCGATCTAGCCCACTCTCCCATTTTGCAGCTGGGAAAACTGAAGCCTAGCAAGAGGCAGTGACTGCACTGAGTAGGGTAGAATTTGTGATCTGCATCGTGCAGAGAAGTGTGTGGCTGCCCCACGCAGGGCTCCGTGCAAACCTGCGGTTTGGGCCGTGAGCTTGTCTTAGCAGAAGAGCATCCTTACCTCCACCTGCAGCTGAGGACTGTGCTGGGTGGTGAGGATACATGTGGTCTTCACAACAACCTCCTGGAGTATAGACAGGAAGGGCAGCATCTCCATCCCACAGGTAAGAGAACTGAGGCCCAAGCTGTTAAAATTTGCATGAGGTCTCCATATTAGTTAGTGAATCCAATCCACATCTTCTGACCATTCTTTGTGCCATCTGACATGTAGCTGGACATTCAGCCCTGGTCCTCAGGTTAGGTATGTGGCCCATGTGGTTGCCTGGGCCAACACCTTGGCTTGCCTGGCATAGAGAGGGGCCAAGCCCTTGGCTGAGTCTGGGAGCACAGAAGACTCTAAGGAAATAAAAGATGTGGTCAAGTACTGTGATAGCTCATGTTTCCAGGGCAGGCCAGCCTTGGCTGGAAAACATGAGGGGGCTGGTCCAAGTGACAGGGAAGCTATAGCAGAGGGGACCTTGGAATGGAGACCTCTAGGTTTTCGCCAACAAGGGCTTGAAGGAGCTTTGCCTGGGCGCCATGTATGCTTAGGACGTCTGACAAGATCAGTGCACAGTTCACACGAGTTCCTATACCTGGTCTTCACCGTTCACCTGCTTCCAGCCATGGTCTAGAGCCCAGAGCTGGAAGAAATGGTGCAGGGAACCAGGGTCATTGTGAACTTCTTTATCTTGAGATTTCCTTCCCACTCCCAGATCTAAGAGTCATGGAGCACCAGCCACAAAACAGGAGGTAGAAAATAGAAAAACAAATAGCAGGAATGGCTGGGACAGACAGGTGCTAATATAATGCAAGATGCCTGCCCCCTGGGACGAGGAGCAAAGGGAAAAAGGCCTGTGAGCAGGACTGCCTGGATTCCAGCCCTTGTTTGTCTCTGGGTCTTCAGGCAAGGCCCATACCCTCTCTGGGCATCCTCAGTTTCCCCTTGTGCAGAACAAGCAGCTTGAAATAGATGAAGACAGAGGCTCCTCTTCATAGCTTGGTTGCTGTGGCTTGGAAGCAGGGCTTTTCAACTTGGTTGAGCATCAGGGTCACCAAGGTGGGTGGGTCTTCTCTCCCCTCCTTCTAGTTGTATATATGTTCACCAGTTTTACCATTTTTATTGTTGGCTGCTTGTTTTATATTTATTTTTGTGAAACAATGATATCCATCCTGAAATTGACATAAAACATGGAGATTGGGCTTCCCTGGTGGCGCAGTGGTTGAGAGTCCGCCTGCCAATGCAGGGGACACGGGTTCGTGCCCCGGTCCGGGAGGATCCCACATGCCGCGGAGCGGCTGGGCCCGTGAGCCATGGCCGCTGAGCCTGCACGTCCGGAGCCTGTGCTCCGCAATGGGATAGGACACAACAGTGAGAGGCCCGCGTACCGCAAAAAACAAACAAACAGAAAAACATGGATATATAATTTAGCAAATAATAATAAAGAGACTACCCATTTCATACCAACACTCAGACCAAGAAATAGGACTTTTTTTAAAATTAATTTTTATTAGAGGATGGTTGTTTTACAATGTTGTTATCCTCCACTGCACAACAAAATGAATCAGCCATATACATACAGATATCCCCTCCCTTTGGGACTTCCCTCCCATTAGGTTACCACAGTGCATTAAGTAGAGTTCCCTGTGCTATACAGTATGTTCCCATCAGTTGTCTATTTTATGCATAGTATCAATAACGTATATGTGTCGATCCCAGTCTCCCAATTCCTCCCACCCCACCCCTTTCCCCCATGGTATCCTTACATTTGTTCTCTACGTCTGTGACTCTAAGAAATAGGACTTTGCCAGCAATCAGAAGCCCGTGGGCCTGTGGGTCCCTTCCCAGTGTAGGCCCTTTCTCTTTCTCCCAGAGGTAACCACTATCTTGACTTTTTTGATAATTTCCTTGCTTTTTTGTTTTGTTTTGTTTCACTACCTATATTTGCATCCAAAACACTTCTATTTTGCCCATATATAATACTGTGTTTATTCTTTCATGTCTTGCATCCTTTCAACAGTATGTTTGTGAGATTCACCCATATTGTTGCATGTAGCTAAAGTTGGTTTTATTTTATTTTATTTTTTTTTGTGGTACGCGGACCTCTTACTGTTGCGGCCTCTCCCGTTTTGGAGCACGGGCTCCGGACGCGCAGGCTCAGCGGCCATGGCTCACGGGCCCAGCCTCTCCGCGGCATGTGGGATCTTCCCAGTCCGGGGCATGAACCCGTGTCCCCTGCATCAGCAGGCGGACCCTCAACCACTGCGCCACCAGGGAAGCCCAGTTCTTTCATTTTTATTTGGCTTTTCTTAAATTTAATGTCTTTTTTTTATTAAACAATACTCTGAAAGGGTACAAAATCAAAGGATATAAAAAAATATGTAATAAAACGTCTCCCTTCCACCCTGTGTCTTCAGACATTCTATTCCCTTCCATCAAAGGCAATCAATGGTTTGCGTTTATCTTTCTGGGGGGCTTTTTTAGAAATTGGTGATTCCAAGATCTTGTCAGGGTTTGGAAACCACTGATGCTCAGAGAGCCTCTGGGTATCTTAGGTCGGCAGCTTAAACTTCACACGATAATGAAATGTGTTGCTTTAGAAGAGTGCTGATAAACTTTTGCAAAACAAGCTTACAGCACCCTTTCCTGAACTCTGAAAAACAAAGCAAAATGAGGCTAAGAAAGGGGGTGGTTAGGCGGAAGGAGTCTGGATGGTCATTTGTGCCAGGAGTGGGTGTCCATGGCAGTCAGGGGCCAGGCTGTCGGTCTGTAGAGAGGCCACAGCCCTCGGAGAGCATTGTGGACAGGGGGGTTCAAGGAAAATAGTTACATTCATCCCAGCCCAGGGAGTGGGCTGTGGAGAAGGCAGTGAGTCACCCATCCTGACTGCCTATTCTGTGCCTGAGTCAGGAAGGAGGAAATATTTTGTAACCATGTGCATTTCTGATAGAAAGGGCAGGAGGATGTAGATGGTCCTTGCTCAGATCCCCAGCCTGCTGAAGGATCCAGAGACGGTGCAGGGACCGCGGGCTGGCTCCGTCTGAGCATGGTGGGATGGGGTGGCGGTGGTGGGGTGCTGTCATAAACATACAGGTAAACACAGAGTTACCAGCCTGCCTCCCCTGATGGTGCACTCCGAGCCAGTGGAATGAGAGCGTGGACCCGTGTCCTGAGTTCTGCATTGTGTGTAGATCACACTTTGAAAAATGGAAGATGTGTGAATCAAAGGGAAGGATGGGGTTGGAGCAGAGACGTCTCCCGACCTCACAGCTCAACCAGGGGAAACGTTGGCATCTTTGGGCTGAAGTGGTCACTCCCTACAGACCCAAGGTGTCCTGCTCCTTCCCTTTGGGCCACCACTATGATGGTGCCAGTGAGCATCCTCTCACCGGGCACTGGTTCTGCTTTTGTTTCTGAGCAGGAAGACGAGGCACCTCCCAGGCCCCCGCTCCCTGAGCTCTACAGCCCGGAGGACCAGCCCCCGGCCGTGCCACCTCTACCGAGGGAGGCCACCATCATCCGGCACACTTCAGTGAGGGGCCTCAAGCGGCAGTCGGACGAGAGGAAACGAGACCGGGAGCAGGGGCAGTGTGTGAACGGGGACTCGAGGGTGAGCAGGGGGGACCCCTGGGGTTGCCCCGCTGTGTGTGGGGAGAGGGACAGCAGCGGGGCAGGTGTGACGGCCTCAGACTCTGCCCACAGGTGGAACTCCGGTCATACGTCAGTGAGCCTGAGCTGGCGACCTTCAGTGGGGACGTGGCCCCTCCCTCCCTGGGACTCGTGGGCTCTGAGAGCAGGTACCAGACGTTGCCAGGCAGAGGTAAGGCGAGATTTTCCATGGAGTCTTCCTGGGCGTCCCCCCCACTGCCACACCACTGCTCCCCAGCCCTACCCGGTCCTCACACCCTTCTGCCTGCAGCGTGGGGCCTCAGCCTGGGTAGCAGCTGTCAGCCGACTCTGGGCTGTAGGGAGGGCCTGCCCGTCCTGCCTCTGGCTCATATCCTGATTCTCATCCTCTTTTATTACATCTTCCCCCAGGAACAATGATAATAGCAGTTACTATAAAGCCCAGTGCTGTTTTAAGCACTTCATTATATCCACTTAGTTAAGATTCATGATAATCCCGTGAGGGAAGTACTATTGTTATCCCCATTTTAGAGACAAGAAAACCAAGGCCCAGAGAAATGAAACAACTTGCCAATTAGCCAATAAGTGATAGAGCCAGAATCCTACCCTGCAGGCTGGGATGTTGGGTGACTGTCATCAGCTTGGCCATCCCATCTCATGCCTTCCAGAGGCTTTTCTCCTCTTCTGTGTCACTCTAAGACTCAATGAGTCCTTTATTTAAACAAACACACCTTTCTCCTCAGTTGGGTCTTCTCACTCTCCTCCCCTATCCCTTTGAGATGGGGGTGGGAACAGATTTAGGCCATTAGGCTCACCCATGCCCTATTTTTCCCCATAGCCAGATCCTCTTTCTGAAATCCTTTTAAAAGGAGGCCATCTGGAGCCCCAGAGCAGGTTGACCACACTCCCTCATTTGGTGGGAGGTCAGGCGCTTTCCCCCCTTGACAGGATGTGGAAACAGGAGGCCACACCGCCATGATTTGGACTCCTATGGGGTTATGTGACTCCCAGCCCACGATGCTGTGTAGGCTTGCTGTGTCCTGAGCTGGTCCCTGGAGGGGACTGGCTTTTGCTGAGTTGGGCCACAGCAACCCTTGGCACTGTGCCTGGGGACCCTTTTCCCTTCTTTCATTACAGCCTAGAGGTGTTCATCAATGGCAGTGTTAGTGGCCTGTGGGCAGGACAGTTCTTTGTCGCTCAGGAGTCTCTGGGCATTGCAGGACATTTATCATCATTTTTCCTACGTGCTAAATGCTGGTGGAGTCCTCAGTGTGATGCCCGTTTCTAGATGTCAGGGACCAGCCTTGCTAAGAATGTTGCTAGTGGAGAAAGCACGGGCTGAGGCTCCGTGTGACCTTGGACAAGTTGCTTAACCTCTCTGAGCTTTAGATTGCGTACCTCCACAGTGGTTAGGTAATGCTACTTTGTAGGGCCAGCGGGACAAAATCTATATGAAATACCTGGCACGATGCCTGCCTGTTATATAGTAAGTACTCAGTAAATGCTTGGTGCCTTCTTCTTTCCATTCTTCATTTATTCATTCAGTCATTTATTCATTCAACCAGGCATTGTTGAATTTGTAGACAGGCATGTTGACACTGTGGTCAGTGCAGTAACCAGTGAATATACTGAAGAATACAGGGAATAACTGATTCTGCCTGGAGCATTTGAAAAGGCTTCTCACAGACAGGCATCCAAGTTGGGTCACACAGGATGCATAGGAGTTCATCAGGAGGAAGTGATGCAGGGCATTCCTCGCCCTGCATCCTTTCCTCCTGCCAAGCAGCCCAGGTCTTCTGCATGTGAGAGAAGACGAGGGTAGTCCCCAGATCTTCCTTAGGGGACAGAGGGCACCCATGGGCTGGCCTCTCATTCCCTACCTGGGGCCTTGCTCTTCCGGGCCCTGGGGAGGAAGAAGCGTGGGTTGTTGGCTGGGTCCTCGTGGTCCCCTCACGGGAGTGAGAGTTGATCAAGAAGGGGCTGGTGACCTGCCCTCCTCACCACAAATCCACTTGCATTTCTCTTTCCTCACTAAGGGCTCTCGGGGTCCACGTCAAGGCTCCAGCAGTCGTCCACCATTGCTCCCTACGTCACGCTTCGGAGGGGTCTAGATGCCGAAAGCAGCAAGGTGACCTACCCTGTGAGTGGCCTTGAGAAGTTCCTGAGGGGCTCACCGCTCCCTCACACACAGAGGGAAGGGCTCCGAGGTAGACGGTAACTGGGATCCTGTCAGGTGACCCCTCCAGAGCTCAGATTCCCTGTCACCATGTGCTCATGATGCCTTCACCACTGCCCACCAAGAAGGGCATCACACTGCCCTCCCCATTTCCCAAGGGGCTCCCACCTTTCTCCCCAGTCTCGCCCAGTGAGTCACACCCTGAGTTGTGGCCCATGATGTGCTTCTGCTCAACTGGACAGGCCTGGGCCTCAGTGTCTGCATCTGCAGAATTGGGTGCTGCCCAGAGAGCCCGTGAGGGCCAGCGGTATCATGTCCACGAGTGTGCTTAGAGGAGGTGCTTCTCAGTGGCCAGGAGGAGCCCAACTGGAGTGTGTGTGTGTGTGTGTGTGTGTGTGTGTGTGACAGAGAGAGACAGAGAGAGACAGAGACAGAGAGAGACAGAGAGGAAGAAGGACGGGGATGAAGCCAGCAGGGTGGCTGCCCTCTGTGTTCCCAGCCCAGCTGCCCTGTCTGTCCCTCCTGCCCCTCAGAGACCCAGGAGTGCCTTGGAGCGCCTGTACTCAGGGGACCACCAGCGGGGCAAGATGAGCGCGGAGGAGCAGCTTGAGCGCATGAAGCGGCACCAGAAGGCGCTGGTCCGGGAGCGCAAGAGGACGCTGAGCCAAGGAGAGAGGACGGGTCTGCCCTCGTCCCGCTACCTCGGCCAACCACTCCCTGGAGATCTCGGCTCAGTATGTTAGGAGGGTCCAGGCAGGCGGGGCTGGGACAGGGAGCAGAGCTTCCCCGAGTCCCCCAGACACAAGCACTTCTCAGCGCCGAGGGAGTGGGCTGTCGACCTGGATGGCTCAGAGAACACCCCCACGGGCTGTGTGTCCACAAGCCGGGACGCATGTGTGACTTGGTCAGAGGGCGCCCCGGAACTAGAGCAGGAACGAGGATGTCACTGCAGGAGCCCAGGAGCCAGAGAGAACGTCCACAGTCAGTTCTGCAGTCGAGCTTGAGGGAGGCCTTTTTAAGCATTTGGAGTCTCTCAGCTGAACCAAGGACTTGGGAAGTACAGGGTTCGAGGAGTGGAGGAGAAAGGTGGTGCTATGATTTGAGGAGGAGGAGTGCAAGCCAACCAGCCTCCCAGACCTCCAAGCGGGTGCCCTGTGGGGCAGCTGAGCAGAGGGTGGTGGCCCTCACCTCTGAGGACTGGGGCTCTCCCACCACCACGGTGCTGACGGGCCTCCCCATGCCCCAGGAGAGCCGGGGCATCTGCTGCCCCCTGGTGGTGCTTCCAGGCACTGCACCCTGCCCACAGTCGCCTTAGGTCCCTTTTGGAAACATTCCATTTGACTTTTCCCTGTTGTTTGAAATCAAATGTTTCCCTAGACCTCTAGCCTGACTGCTCTTCCCCTAATTCATTGCACAAGCTCTTTTGCTTTTAGCGTTACCGCTCATTGCCTCTCTAATCCTGCCTGATTGTGTCTACAGACGCTTCTAATTTGCATCAACCATTCTCTAACTGGCCTGTGCTCTTGTTACCAGGCTTATAATAGCAGCTCTTCTCTCCGTAGCCTAGTGAGCACTCCCATGTGTGATTCACCTTTCTGCCGCCCCCTTTATGCAGGCTTACTGACTCATAATTCCCTTATCCCAAAAGCTGCCCCACAAGTTTGAGCCAGCCCCACTGCCTGAGGGCCGTGGTCATTGTCAGAGGTCTGGGCATGATGAATTTATCAAAGTCCGTGCCTCACATCTGGACAGTAGACACAGACTTCAGAGATTGCATGTTGGAATAAATTCTGCCAAGTCTGAGGTGGTTCAGTTTTAATTCCTCCGGCCCCATCGGCACAATTTCTTACGGAAAACTTTTTGTGTTTCTAGTATTTAATAACTTGAACGGGTAGCAAGATACATTATGATCTGTATTCAGAGGGCCTCTCTGCAGCTGTTAGCTCAGACACCAAAGGGGTAAGACCCAGGATACTCATATCCTGAAAAGCTGCAAAGCCAGTAACTTTTAAACTTTATAAGTAAGTGTCATATGAGGTAAAACTGACTTTTCACAACCTGATGTCTCAAATGTAGAAAAATGATCTAAAAATCGTAACTTGAATACCTTGTAATTTTTCTTTTTAAGAAAAAAGACTTGTGTAAGTCTCTGCCTCAGCGCCAATAAACGTGTTGCTTAATGATAATGGATTGGCGTGGTTCTTCCCCAGGATACATTGTAGAGTCCAGTGAACTTTTTCTGTTTGTGGAAACAATCAGGCTGGGTTTATGTGAGGTCTTGTCTCTCTTTGGGGCACTGGTGAGCGTGTAAGAAAATGTGTGTTTTCTTTGTGAATCATGAAATTAATTTTTCATCCCTGAATCTTCAACTGCCTAATCCTTTTACACTTTAATTGGAAACCATCACCTAAAAGCGATTACGTTGACGTAGAGTCAGTATGGAGAGCTTGTGCACGAATGGGTGAAATGTGCTGCTACGGCCGTGGGTTTGGGGCTTGGGTGAGTGCGGGCTTGAGGGGGCATTAAAGACAACGGTGACCACTTGGGGCTCTGTGAGGCGGGTGGGGTGGGAAGGAGAAGGCAACCTGGGATGGAGAAGCGTCTGCTAGGCTTCTGCTCAAGAAAAGGGAGGCTTTGGGCCCGTTCCCTCCTCTCAACAACCTGCTCAGCGTCGAGGCCTGTGGGGATGCAGGCCACAGGTGATTAGGAAGGCCGCGGCGGAGTCAAACCGTTGTGCTGGGATCTTAAAGTGGCTGGGTTAGAGTTTCCCTCTGTGAAGCCTGCTTGTTACAGAGTTGGAATTGTTGCATTTGATTTAGCATTTAAATTTTACATGTGTTTGGTTTTTCTAACTTAAAACATCTGCCCCAAATAGCTGCGTGATACGCAACAGCTTATCGGCCTCCCTGGCCGCAAGCTGCTCCTGCTTGCACCTCCCCAGTCCCACCGTGAGGGCATTATTCCCCTCCCTTAACTGTGTCCTACTGGGACTGCCCACTAGAGAGGCTCTTGGCTATTCCACTTGCTTACCAGGGCCTCAGAGGGTTTGTTTCGCCCATTGTTTCTGAGCTGGAACAACATATGGCTCCCGAACCAGAAGGGCTTCCGTGATCTGTCATGCAACAGATGCGGCAAACCCCTTCTCTTGAGCTCTGTCCCAGCTTCTGTTTTAGGGTCACCTTCTTGGACCTGGGAGCCTCCTGTATCCCTGGGGACCCTTGTGAGTCTGAAGTCGTGGATCTTAGACCCGTGCCCGGGAGGTTTGGACACTTTGGGGCCCATATCAGAGAGAAATCAGCAGTCTGGAGTCCGGCTGTATCAAAGGGGCAGAGGCCTTGTTCTCTGTATCACGGAGTTTCAGAACACAGCAGAGACCATCCGTGTCACAGGATAGCTGCTGCCTTGTTTTAGGGATGAGGTTGAGGTCCATGGTCACACAGCTTTTCCCTAATGAGTCACAGGCCCATCTTCCCAAGGACCCCAGTGCCTGCAAGACCTACCCAAAAGGGATAGCCAGGAAGTGACTACATTTCACCCTCTTGTTCTGTTACCAGTGGAAGCGCGAGCAGGACTTTGACCTGCAGCTGCTGGAACGGGCCGTACAAGGGGACAGGAAGGACAAGGAGGAGAATGGCTGGCTGAAGGTGCAGGCTATGCCTGTCACTGAGTTGGACCTGGAACCACAAGACTATGACGTGGACATCAGCAGAGAGGTGAGGGCAGGGGCTTCCTTCACGCTGCCCCCAGGAGGCCCAGCCTTCAGACGCCAGCCTGACCAACCCTCCCAGGGGCATGGAGCGGGGGGGGGGGGGGGGGGGTCGGAGGTTGGGTTGTTGCCCTGAATAAGGACAGGCTCCGTTTCGGTGTGGCCCAGGAGGATGGATGAACAGCACCTGGAGGTAGTAAGAGGAGACCAGACATTTTGATGCAGGTTCAGAGCTGCCTCTCTTTGTAATTTGTGGCAAGTCATTTAACTTCTCTGTGCCTCAGTTTCCTCAGCAGTAATGTGGGTTGTGGGGAGGGTTAAGTGACTCAGCACATTGCCCGAACGATTAGCAATGATCAGAAAGCTGTGAGCACAGGTCCTGGCACATAGTAGGCATGTAATGAGGTAGTTGTTACTGTTAGCATATGTTCCCTGGAAAACCAGGGGTTGGTCTTGCATCTGGCCAGTCAGGCCAATTTGGGCAATCAGACTTGGGGGAAAGGCAGGGCAGGTTTAGAAATCACAGGTGAAATATCCAGCCATGGCAGAGGCTAGGAGACCTGGATAGGTCTGGTCTGGGTTCTTTCGCCCTCTGGTGGCTCAAACGCATCATGGCCGGGCAGGCCCAGAAAAGCAAGTAACCGCAGTCAGGACCGTCTCTTACCCAAGGGAAGAGACAGGGAGTCAGAGCGTGACACACTTAGGGTCTTCAAGTCATAGGGTGGTCTCCTGTGGCCTATGTTGTGCCATTTGTAAGCTCTGTAGAGCAGTGTCTTTGGCTGTTTGGTTCACCTTTGTGCACCCAGCACCAGGCCTGGCACACAGTAGATGCTCTGTAAATATTTGCTGAATGACGGCTCTGTTGAATGAAGTGCACAGTGGCCCACAGATATCCCAAACACATTTGTATGAGGACTTGGCCTGGCCTGAAACTGCATGAGACGAAATGCTCTCACCACATGAAGGATAGATCAGACAGGATGGGGGCAAACAGACGCCTGTGGAGTCGCTGGGTTCTGGGATCAGCAGGGGCTCCAGGGTTTAACGAGGTTGGTCCCCTGCCTTCAGACCTTTTCCCTTTGGCACCTCTGAAACAGCCAAAGGTCCGTGCTTTCTCAGGTCCACAAAAGAAGCTTCTACACACTGCCTTGGCAATGGAAGTGCATTTTGCGGTGTCCTAATTGGCCTGCCAGCCAGGGGAAAAAGTTCTTCCTTATCTCTAACCTAAATCCCTCCTGCTACAATGTAATCTGCTTCCTTCCTGGGCATCTGCCCTCATGGGAAATAACAGAAAAGAGCTTATTTCTTGCCATCTTTCACCAGAATGAAAGGTCTGCATGGGCTTAAATTCAAGTCCAGATTTGCCCTGGGATTGGATTTAGCTTGTTTTTGGAAGTTTCAATCAACCCCATTTTAATGTAGTTCAAGGAAGAAAAAAATTCCGAGGTGTGTGCAAAAGTTGCCTTTAGCGCTCTTGGCCCACGTAAAGGTTCACCAAGCTGAGGTTGCTGTTGGGTTTGTGTGAGACACTGGTGAGGGGAGGAGCTGGGGTCATTTTCCTCTTGAGAGCAGTAGATTCAATGTGGCTGCCTCCTGTCTGGGTCTTTTGTAGGGGTAGAAAGCACCATCACTTTCTTTCATCCCTCCACCCAGCCACCCAGACACCCATCCAAGGAGTGTTTGCTGAAGGGCTGCTAAGTACCAAGTCCCTGCTCTAGACAGTGGAGAAACAAACAGGAAATGGGAGGGAGTGGCAGGGGTGGGTGGATGGGAGAAGGAGGGTCAGGGAAGCTTTCTGGAGGTGAGGTTGGGAGGATGAGAAAGAGGCCATGGAGCCCAAGGAAGGAGAATCCCAGGCAGAGGAAAGAGTAGGGGCCGAGGTGGGTCAGTGTGGCTGGAGAGGTCAGATCACATCAAGGGTAGCTTTTAGGGTGATCATTTGTATCCTCAGGGCTTACTGGTCTAGTTATTTCGCCTTCCCCCTTCCCTTCCCTTGGCCTGTAGGAGGTTGCCTGGTACGGTAGATAGCACATGGGCTTTGGAGTCAGACCCAGATTCAGATCGGGACTGCACAGTGAACTGCCACTGTGATCTTAGCAAGTCACTGAAGTCTGCGGGCTCCTCCGCGTGCCTCATGGCGGGGGACAGGATGGGGGGAGCAGGTCTCAAACCCAACATCTGTGCCTCCCACCACCTTTCCTCAGCTCTCCAAACCAGAGAAGGTCTCCATCCCCGAGCGTTACGTGGAGCTGGATCCTGAAGACCCGCCCAGCCTGGAGGAGCTGCAGGCGCGGTACCGCAAGGCCGAGAAGATCCGTAACATTCTTACCCGGTCCAGGTCAGCCCTCCTGCTGCCTGAGCCCTGACGACCCGCTAGGCCGACCCCAGGGGTGTCTCAGCTGAATGGGCCCTGGGCTGGGCTGGCCGGGGAGTGTGTCTTGTCAGGCCTCCGTCTCAGACAAGCACTGCTCATGGTACGGAGCAGGCCGGCTCTCAGCACGTCACCCGCAGATCAGCGAGGGAGCTTGCCCAGGTCATCCGGGAGGTCTAAAGCACTCAGAGGGCCATACTAGGCCCTTGGCCCCAAATCTGGGTCCCGTGGCCCTGGCAAGCGTGGGGAGTGGAGCCAAGTGTGGTGGTGAAGTGGACACAGTTGGAGATAGGCCCCAAGGACGGCCCTCCCAGCCTTAGGGCCCATGTTCCCTCACACAGACCCCCAGACCACAGCCAGGGGCCGAGCCTTGTCCTGAGGTGCCAGAGGCCTTGCCCACATCCCTGGAGGCCAGGATGGTAGCCTCAGAAACGTAAACTGGGTATTTGAGGGCCTCCCTTTCAGAGAGCGGTTAGCCTTTTCCCGTCTGGATTTAATAGGAGCTTAGAGCTGGAACTCTTATCTTGAGGTCTGTGATCCACCAAAGGAGGAACAAAGCTGTGACTAGGTGTTTGGGGAGAAGCATGTGCACCTTTGTCTGGAGAGAAGGTGCACCATTTTTATCTGATGCCCCCAAAAGGGTGAGATCCTCCGGCCAGGGAGACCCTGCTCTCCTGAGGCAGGTGCCTGGGGGTGGCGAGGCCCACAGCCTGCTTTCTGGCTCTCCCACAGCATGTGCAACCTGCAGCCGGTGTCCGGCCAGGACCGGGACGGCGTGGCCGACCTGGACTCGCAGCTGCAGGCGCAGGAGCGCATCATCAACATCTCCTACGCCCTGGCCTCAGAGGCCTCCCAGCGCAGCAAGCAGGTGGCAGGTGAGGCCCTGGGGACAGCCTCTGAGGCTGGGCCACACCCCCTGCTCCTTGGGCTCAGGGCCTGGCATAGCCTGTCGGGGTCAGTGGAAAAGCAGGCGTCAGGCTCGCTAGTTGAGGGACAGTGGTATGTTCCCCTGTCCCAGGCGCACTGCAGGGCTTGCGAGGGGGACTGGGGCTCAGGAGTGTCCCGGGAGAGGGTGTACAGCTCATTCTTAAATCTTCGGAGTGGTACTGCTATTCCGCTTTCTCTGAGGTTGTGGGTTGGGAACAGGTTTTTCCTGTTCTCCCGAGCTAAGGGGTCAAGGCTAAGGTTTCTGGCCTCACGAAAAAGGGGCAGGAAAGCCTTTTGGTGCTTGGATTTCTTGCCGGGACAAGGCAGAATGGGGCCCCTCTAACCCTCCCTGGGGTCCATGCTTTGGTTCCCAAATCAAAGTCACTGTTCACCTATCAGAGTGGCCTGTGCCAGAAAGCAGGACTTGGGAAGTGGGACTTTGCTGTCCAGTGGGAAAAAAATAGCACCATGGGATGGGAGGGTGTGTGTGTGTGCGCGCGCGCGTGCGCCAGGAAGGAGACTCCTGGCTCCTCTCCCCACCCACATGTGCCCCCGCTGTGTGAGCTCTCACAGTTCACCTAGTGCTGTTTCTCCCCAGATGCAGCCGCCACTGCATGTCTAGGTGGTGCCCTTGGCCAGGTGTGAGAGGGGTGGTCATAGAGCCTGAAGTGGGGTCACAGTCCCCACCAGTCCTCCAGCCCTGTCCAAAGGGTCTAGAAGTGACCACGGGTGGGGCCTGCTGGACCTTGAAGTGGCTGGCCCTGGGAAGCAGAACCATGGGTATGACTGAGGACAAGGGGCAGCCTGTTCTCTGTCTCCCAGCTCGGATCCCGTACAGGGTCGCTGAAGTCCCTGCTGTTCTGACTCCCCTGAGGACATGTGCGTGGGCTGAGAGGGGGTCTCCCTTGGGGAGACAGCAGACGGCGTTCCCGGGCCCCTCCTCATAATGATCCTGGGGCTCCCTGAGCCCATCGTGGCGATTTTGAATTCCTTCCCATGTCCAGGGCTCTAGCAGGGGCACCTTCCCTGCCATAAAGTGCCCTCCTCTCTGGCCTGTGCTTGCTCTACCTATGTGGACCTACTGTCCTCGGCTTCCTTAACCACCAGCAGGCGAGCGTGCCCCGGACCTGACACCCGCAGTCACGTCCCTGCTCAGTGGCCACCTTTGCTGCAGCCTTTGCTCACTCTTGCTCCCTCTCTCCAGCTCAGAGACATTTCTGGGAACTGCAGGCCAGACCCCCGCCAGGCCCCATGGATATGCCCCCGCAAGCCCAGGCCGTTAGTGGTGGGCAGCGGGGCCCACGGCACCCCGGCCCTGCCGCTCAGGGTGTCTGGTGCTGCAGGAGCAGACGAGGAACCTAACGCACCACTTAATTCCTGTCTGCCCGTCTAGCGCAGCATCTGGCCCTCCTCCCGCCTAAAGCCCCCCTGTCCTCCAGGACGGTGCCACCTTACCCCCCCTTAAGCAACGGACTCCACTACACCTTTGTCTAACACCTTTCAAGTAAGAGCCCCCCTCCTGGCGTGGCCCCTCACCTGGCGCTGAGCATGTCCCCTCCCCTCTGCTGCTGAGATGATTGCAGTGCCACCTGCTGACGCTTCCTTCCATGGGCAAAGCGGCCGCTGGGGAGACCCCTCCTGGACCGGTAGGCAGGTTGGGGGCTGATGATTTTTAGGGACTCAATGTTCAGCGGCTCCGATACAGTAGAGACAGTGTGATCCAAGCCCCCTTGCTCCCTGAAATCTCAGGAGGCAGAGCTGCGCCCCTTCCCGCCCCGCTGTCCTTCCTGCAGGCGGCCCAGTGCCCCAGGGGACCAGGGCAGGCCAGACGGCCAGCGTGGGAAGGAGGGGCGGTGGCTGCGAAGGACGAATTAGATCATGGCCTCTCCCCGTCAGGGCTTTGACCAAAGAAATTGAAGAACCGGGAGCCTAGAAAAGCCAGTTTTACAGATGAGAACGCGGGCCCTGTGAGGGGTGGGGGCTCATTCCAGCCACAAGGGAAGCTTCAGGAGGAGGCTGCCCGGGCTGATGGCCCTCACCCCTGCGGAACATTCCAGCACCACCCCTTCTGAGTCCTCCCCATGTGGGCGTTTACTGGTGAGAGGAGGCAGCGTGGGAGTAGGGAGGGAGTGCTGGGCCAGGAGTCGGGAGGCTGGGGCCAAGTCCAGGCTGTTGTTCTGAGTTCTTGGCTGTTGTCTCACCTGGATGGGGAGGGCGGATCAGGAGTCTCAGCAGCCCTTTCCCTGATGTTCCACTTCGTACGACTGTGTAGGGCTTCCCCTCTCATCGCTCTATGCACACTTACGGTTAACGTTGCTGAGCGCCTACTCCGTGCCAGGCATCGCGCTGATCATCTCCTTTGACGACAACCCAATGGAGATATTCACCCCGTTTTACAGATGAGGAAGCGCAGCTCAGAGACCCTGAGGGACTTGCCCAAGGAGTTGCGGCTGTGTCAGAGCCAGGGTTCGAACCCCTTCTGTGCGAGTTCAGAGCCTCTGTTCTCCATTGCCACCCTGGGCCCACCTGGGCCACCTCCATTGGCCCACCTGGGCCACCCCTGGGGGCTCTAGATGTTTGGAGAAGGGAGTGCAGTGAGGGATGGCGGTGTGTGGTCAGGACGGAGGCATGATCTTGGGCGAGTGTCCACCCGCCTGGGCGCTTCGCTGTCCTGAGGGTGGCAGGAGGAAGTCGGCCTGTTGGGCCAGGCTCTCGGGAGGTGTGAAGTAGGGGCCTCGTGACTGAGGAACCCCAGGGGATGCTCCAGCCAGGTCTTGTAAAGGCTGCAGGGTCTTCTGGGGCCGCGGGATGGCGTATGGTTTTCTCCTGGAGATCCGCGTGTGGTGACACCACCCCAGGCCACAGAGAGGCGGAGGAGAGGCTCTGTTCCTCTCTGCTTTTAGTGCCCCTGCGGCCATGAGATAGGCCGCTAATGCTCTTTTCAGAGCACACACACATTTCCTTGTACCCTTCCGGCACCCTCATTAGGAGATTGGTACAGTCACCCTGTTTTTAGATTAAGAAAACGAGGCCCATGAAGGCTGAGAGAGTTACCCAGAGTCCCTCAGCAAATGAAGGGCAGGGCCAGAACTGGACCCCAGAGTCCTCTTTGCTCAGGCCTTCTGCCCTATCAGAGCAGGGACCCAGTCTAGGGGCCAGCATGTGTCTGGCAAACTTCCTAGAAGTGATGAGGGTGGAGGAAAGGTGGGACGCCCGTTAGTCCTCGAAGCCGAGGGTCCCCCAGCAGCGGCCGCATTGCCCCAGCCCCCTGCTCTGCTGTTCTCTGTCTTGTCAGCCTGCCATTCCCTGTCACGTGTGCACAGACATGCCCACCGCCTGCTCCCCAGACGTGGGCTGGGGTCCTGCCAGCCTCTCATTGTCTCCTGTGCTTTTTGCCAGCCCAGGCAGTGACTGACCCGTGATCCAGCGTGCAGAGAAGTCTGGAGCCAGGGGCCAGTGGAACCAGTTTCCTCCAAGAAGATTGATCCTTCTTCCCCTTCCAGCTGAGCCGGGGTTGAGGCTGGAGGGCAGAGCACCACCAGCTGTGGGGCATTCACCACAGGGCTAGGGCCTAACACCCACGCTTGTTTTAGTTCAGACTCCTTTTTACATGTGACAAAGGCACTTTTAATACACACTGTAAAATACTGACTCTGTATTTTAGAATCAGGCTGTATTTTATAATGTTCACCTCAAGGGCCGAGTGGCTGAGAAGGTGAGGATGCAGGATTTTGGAGCTGCACATACAGATCCAGGTACCGTTTGGGTGGTGGGTGTGGGTGGGAACCGAAGGGCAGGGTGAGCAGAGGCCAGTCCAGCATCTGCTGAACTCAGGTGAGGTTGGATTGGAGATGTACTTCCAGTGGATTCCAGCGTTGGGCTCATTGGTGTGTTGTCCAGGGCAGTGATCAGCTGACCCTGACCTGGCCTGATGACCAGCTCTGTAGGGTGAAACTCCACCGAGCTGGCACGTGGAGCCTCGGCCTTGGGTCTGGCTTAGGCCCAAAGGTGTGTCCAAGAACATTGGTTCCCAACCTGCCCATGAGGTTCTCTCAGCAAAGGGCTCTTCAAAAAATACAAAAACAGTTCGCTGTAATTAAAAAAAAAAAAACAAAAAACACTTTGAAATACAGACAAGGTGAGAAGAAACACCTTTGATTTGTATCATAAGCAATAAACGTCACACTGGGTGGCATCTACCTACAACTCCCCGAGTCCGCACTAGGCTGTGATAGGTATCCTGGGCTCGTTGTGGCTGGCCCCTGAGAACACAGGTCAGCCTACCCAGGACTTGGGTCAGGTGGCAGGTGGGCAGGCAGTGGGCCCCTACCCTCCCTCATGGCCAGCAGGGCCATGATGACAGGACTATGACTTGACTTCCAGCCTAAAACGGGGAGGGCGCTGTTAAGCCAGGCGCAGTGTTTGTGGCCCTTTATGTAAGTCATGATATTCTGCATTTGGAAAATGAAGTTGGAAGAAAACAAAAAACAACTCCATTGGGTGGAGCCACACTTTAAATGAAAATTTGTCTTTGACTATGGTCAGAAAAATAATCTTGAATATATTTAGAAGTTGCCGTCTATTTTTAACTAACTCCATATGCTGCCAGTATCAACTTCATGACATTTGCCAAAATAAGATTTTATTTTTGCCTTTATAAGATTTTGTTGGAAAAAATGAAATGACTATTTTGCAAGAAAAAGTTAATTTAAATAAAACTGTAATGGTTTGCAAAAAAAAAAAACATGTGATGTACAGATTAAACTATTAACCTGATATGCTTCCTGCTTTTTGCTGCCTATATTCTCCTGAGTGGCCTGTGTTAGGTTTTTTTCCGTTTCCTTGGAAAACCCCCAGTGTCAGCTCTGGATCCTGCGGTGTTCACCTATGAAGTCTCTCCTGATGACAGTTCCATGACACGTGATTGACTCTGGAGGCCTGAGGGAGGAAGGCCTGCGCACTTGGGCCTTTGGCTGGGCTTCAGCAGCCGCTCAGGATGGCCCCCCACCTCGCCCCCGCCCGGCTGAGGGGCCGCCGGGCTGTGGACTTCTGTGCGGGGCTGGTTTGGCAGGCGGTCTGCAATCCCAGACAAAGGGAGGGACTCCGCAGGCCCTCTTCCAGCCCACACGCCTCCAGCTCGTTCCAATGAGGCGGGTTAGTGACGGACCATTGCAAGCTGGACTTGTGTTTAATTCGTTTTGACTTGTGATATGTGCTTAAAACAGAAGGCAGGAGGCCAGTTCAGTTTAGGGATGCGTGCGCTTCCAAGTTTGTTGCTATGGCAGTTTTTCTCTGTTGCCAAGAAGGGCGCCCTCAGTTTAGAGTGACTTTCCAACTAGTTAAACTGGAGAAAATAGATACCAAGGCATTCCAAAGAGGGATTGCTGCTGCTTTTTTAGCTACTGCTCTCCTTTTGAATTTTAAAATGAAAAATACTCTCTGGTTTTAAGCATTACTTGGAGCCATCTCCATAACCTATGAAAGGGAGGCAGGGGCGGTGGGGAGGAGGGTTTGTCCATAACTGAGTGCAAGGCAAGAAAAAAGGTACAGGAGGCCCCCCTGCCCCACAGGGTGACTCCTGCCGGGAGGAGGGGTAGCCTGTTCTGTAAGAATTGTGGCCCAAATTTCAAACAGAGAGGGTGACAGGCCCTCACGTCAGACTTCATGGAGAGCACGCGTGATCTGGAAAAGGCACCCTCTGGCTATGTCACGTGTGAGCAGGCGCATGGCCCGGCCCCCTTCTCCGCCCCCTGGAGAGGACTCGTTACCTGAGGTAAGATGCCATCTGCGTAAGGACCGGCTGACCAGGGACCCTCCAGGTGGGGGGGGGCCACTGGGAAACCCCACGTGGCCCAACGATTCCGGCTTTGCTTCTTTACCGGGACCCACGGGGCCTGAGCAGAGTTTGAAACGATGGGATTGCAGTCAGCAGAGGGGGCATGAGCATGCTTCAGCACCCCTGCTGACATCCATTCCTGACTTTAACTCTAACCCAGGTCCCGGTCGAGCCCAGTATGTCTATCTTATTTGAGCAAGAACCAACAAGAACATTTTAGAATCTAGTATTAACAGGGGTTGGGAATAATCTTTTCCTAATGCCCACTTGACCCTTCTGAACTGCCCAGATTCTCAACATGTCCAGGGTGTTGTTTAAATGATTGAAGTTGAGATGTGTGTACATTTGTGAGTGCACGTGAGGCAGATGTGCCCAGACTGATGCGGGTGTTGAAAGCAGGCCTTTTGTTTGCTCCCTTGCATTCACTTTTCTGCCCGCCTTTGTGTCTGGCTGGGGGGATGGGATCCGCAACTAGTCCCTTCTCCCTCTGACCCCTTGGCCACCTTCACTTAAGCTGGGTTCTAGAATTCTCCTGGCTGTTGTAGGTTGCAGCCTAAGGCCAGGGAAACCTCCATCTGCCCAAGGTCAGCTTGGGGATAGAAGGCATGGGGGGTGGAGTGGATGTGGACCCTGACTCAGCTGGACAAGAGCCCATTTTAGGCTTTGGGAGTTTCCCCCAGCTACGGTACAGAACTCTACGGCAAATCCTTTTGTGTTCGCACCAAGGGCGGGAAAGAAGCAGCGGAGTATTTGCCTAATCCACAGATCACATCTCTGAGATGAGGCAGGCAAATGCTGGGAGCCCTCTGCTTCCGATTCAGCATCAGACACCGGGGCACATGAGGGACTTTGCCCATGTGGGTTGCGTGCCGTTACGAAAAGAACAAAGAGACGAGGCTGGGGGGGATGTGAAAAATGGCAGCCCCTCCCGGCCCGGTAAACACGCCATTGCTTTGCCATCTCCACTCCAAAGGCTACCACTTTCATTGCTCTCCGAGCAAAGAAACCTTTCTTCAGAGCGAGTGGCAGGGTACAAAGGCAGAGTACAAAATGTGCACACATCACAGTCCCCGCAATTCTGTTTGAACAAGCATATTGATTGGGTCTGACCTTGTTACATTTTTTTCCTATTATTTGAAAAGGTGCATCTAAGTGTAGTGAATTGAACCAGCGGAACTGAACTTTCCATGAAAACTTCTCGAGGTATTTCTTTAGTTCAAAGCTTTTGAATTTTAAAGGGCATTTTTAATACGAGTCTGTTGAGTATTCTCTGCCACAGCCCAACAAGGGATGTTAAATGCATATGAGGATGGAGCGAGGGCACCCGTGGGGTGGACGTGCCCACACAGCGGAGGGTGGTTGGAGGGTGCAGGCCAGCCCAGGAAGGGCTAAGCTTTGGGGGGAGAGGCCGAGCCTGTGGAGCAGCACACACAGACCCCAAAAAGGATCTCTCTGAGCTCACTGGGGACAGCTTAGGAGACAGGGAAGAGGTTTCCCAGCTGAGCTTCTCAAAGGCTTTTATGTGGAGAGCTGAGAAGTACTTGCTAGGGGCCCCTTCTGATGGGCGAGGGTTTTGTCCTTGGGAATAAGGGACTCCTTACTCAGCCACTCGCTTTCTCTTACACTGTGTTTTAGAACTGAGAAGGAATAAGAGGCACAGCCCCTTGGCTGAGGTCACAGAGTCAGAAAAGAAGCTGCCACTGTCCTCAGCCCTTGACATCACTTAACAATTGCAGGTGCTTTCCTGCTGAGCCCTGAGCTGCATCCCAATCCTCGACTGATCTGACGTCTTAGGACGTTTTGCTGATCGTGTGGGCCACAGCTGTGGTCCCTCTTGCCATCCTGGCCTGGGCCCTTGAAAGCATCCGGAGTCGCATTTTCCCTCCACACAAGGGGCCTCTTCTGGCCCACTGAAGGCACACAGCCGCCGCCTTTGAGTGAGTTCCAAGGGTCTGTTTGCCTCCGGAGGCCTCTTGGATCTAGAAAGCACCTCCTTTCTAGACCCAGAATTTGAGATCAGAGGCAGAATCATCCCAGGGAGGAGCTGGAAAATCAGGTCCTGTGCTGGAAGAACCCAGGACTTGGGCATCTCAGCAAAATCCTTTCAGTGTCCTTGCCAAATCTCCAGCCTAGAAGATTGGCCTGGGAAGGTCAAAACGGGGTCAGAATAGCAGTAACAAATGGTAGAAGATACCCAGTCTTCTCTGCCGACAACTGGGGACACCAGCCCCATTCAGATTCCTTCTACCTCTTGTGGGAGCCCGCAAGGGTGTCTCACGTACACTCTGAAATTAGTGTTTTTGGCTGTCACTTTTGGGCCTTCCTGCTGTTATCTGTGTTTCCTGAGGCCACACTACCCAGTGGACACCAGTGAAGTTCCACTGACAGTAAAAACTCAGGTTTCATGGCCGCTGCCCGCTTCTGCTCACAATGAGGGTCCAGGTCCTGTGCCCATGTCTCCCCAGTCATTTCTGGGGTCCCCAGGCATATCTTACATGAGCTCACCACTGGCCTCTCAAGCTGCAGTTCTTCCACTTGCAGCTCCTGGATGTCGTCAAGCCATGAAGCCACTGCCTGCGCCCCAGGGGGACCGTCCCTGCCCAGCTCACAGCCCTCTCCCGGCGCTGCAGACCCTCGAAGTGCCTGATGAGTGTGTCCCACCGTGAGTCCTCCCTGGCCAAGCCCAGGCTGCAGTCTGCATGCACGTAGGAGAACTTGTGCTCCCTAATTCTGTGTCTCTCGGGTCCCAGAGCAGGTTTTGTGCGCTCTGGTTCACCCAGAGCCCTGGGGAGAGCCACTTCTTCAAGCTTCTGCTCAGGTCCCCTGTCTGTGGGGCTCAGACACGTTCTCTATGTTTCCTCCTCCCTCACCCCAAATAACAATTTGTTATTTCTTATGATTCTCCAACCTGGGCTGGGCTCAGCTGGGCAGGTCTTCTGCTCCATGTGGTGAGGGGGGACTGGGGTGTCCGGGGTGGTTTCCTCACTCACATGTCTGGCACCCCAGCTGGGATGGCTTGGGGAGCTGGGAGCTGGCTGGGCATCTCCGTCTCTCCACACGGCCTCCCCACGTGGCTGCTCCGTCTTACAGTGTGAAGGTCTCGGGGTAGTTGGACTTTTTACCTGAGCTGGCTTCCAAGGGCAGCAAAGCTGCCAGGCCTTTTGAAGCGTAGATCTGGAATTGGCACAGGGTGACTTCCTCCACATTCTCTTGACCAAGGCCAGGCACAGGCCAGCCTCCTTAAAGGGGAGGGAAATAGATTCTACCCCTTGATGGGTGGAGTGGCGTGCACATGCAGACGGAGGGGATGGACGGCGGCCGTCTTGGAGACTGTCTACCACAGGACTCCTTCCTCATTCTACAGCCACTGAAGCATTTAACAGCCAGTGCAGTCGCCCCAGCTTTCTCTTCCCCTGTAGTGGACACCTGGGAGCCACATATTCTGGATGGAGTAACCACAGGATGCAAGCCAACTGGTCCTAAATCTTCACTTGGAAGGGGACTACCCAGCAGAGGCCCTGAGGCCCACGGCTCACTTCGCATGAGTGAGAAATAAACTTTGATGTATTCATCCTCTGGGACTTTAGGCTTTATTTTCTACTGTTGCACAATCTAGCCTACCCAGGTTGTAGGTATCATTATCCCTGTACTACATATGAGAAAACTGAGGCATGTTGGTTCCATGACTAGTCAGAGACTGAGTTGAAGCTGGAGCTTGTATCTGACTCCAGAGAGCCTTTAACCACTGCATTGGCTGCTGTTACCCTGGGAAGAGGAGATGGTGGGGGAAGACAGTCCTGTGGGCCTGGATTCTGGATCACTTGAAATAGCATTGCCTGTGGTGAGGACAGAGAGCTCACGGACAGCATGAAGAGAGACCCACAGGGAAGCGCCTAACACAGTGCCTGGTGAGCAGGAGGTGCTCAGCTCAGCGAAGGTAAGCTGCGCCCACGGCCATGATTTGACAGCCTGGGGATCCCATGAAGGGGCATTACTTCGGCTCACTTAACCCGGCCATTGGTCCCTGGGCTTTGCAGCTCAGAAACTGGATTTGTCACCACCAAGAGCAGGGCTGTCTCTCAGGGCTATGTTCACAGTGACTGGGCTCAGGAGGCACATGGAGGAAACCGAGTGAGAGCCCAACTGCCAAGCTACTGTGTTCACTGCCATGTGCCCTGCCCCCACCCCTGTTGCTCCAGGGGCCAAGTCTTTCTTGGAAGGTGGCCTGGCAGTCTCGGGACCAGTCTTGAAGAATCCTGGTGTCCCTGAGCAGCACACTGAGCAGCCTGAGGTCCCACCTCCACTGCAGGATGCCCCCATTCCACAGACCTGGGGCCCACATTTCCAGACCAGGGCTTCCTCTCTCAGGATAGAATAAGATGGCACTGACCCTCAGGTGCCCCCTTTCTCTGTGACCATGGCTGGCCAGTCCCTTTTTAGGAGATTGACCTCATAGAAAGGAGACCTGGCACAGCAGAAAGAATGAAAGAAGGGAGGGAGGGAGGGAGGGAGGAAAGAAAGAGAAGGAAAGAAATAATTTTTTATTTTTTTAAAAAAGAAAATGCTAAGCATGGTTCCTGGCCCCATAGGAAGCACTAGAAAAAATATGGCATATAAGTTCTCATTTACCTACATTTAAGTTATAATTATTTAACACATACCACATTCTCATTCTTTGTTTACTTGTTTATTGCCTGTCTCCCTCACAAGAATATGAGCTTGCTAAGAGAAATAATTCGTTGAATGAATGAGAGAATGAAAGAAGTCAAGGGCTGTTGCCCAGGGAGCCTTCTCTCTTTTTCAGATGGTTTTGCCTCTCTCTGCTCTGTTGCACTTTTTATACTCTAGCCCCCAGAGAGCATCCCTAGTACCCTATTTTTAAGTTCCTTGAGTAGTAGGTAAGAGCAGGAGTTGTGGAATGCAAATCCACCCTTATTAACTCTGACCTTAGGCAAGTCACTGAACCTCCCTAAGCTTTAGTTTCCTTCTCTGAAAGATGGGAATAACGGCACCTACCTTACATGGGTGATGTGAGGACTAAAGGAGATCATCCTTAAGCGCCATCCCTGGCAGGGACACCCAGCCAGTGGTCACCGTGCTGGTTTGCCCTCATGTATGATCCTTACGAACAGCAAGCCTCCAGGCAGTCCTTCCACATTTAAAGCCTGTCTCCTCTCCCCGGCTCGGCAGGATAAATGGGTTTGGGGCCAGCTGCTATCGCCCACCCCAGTCTTCTGCCCTCCACCATCCGTCTGCCATTTTAGACAGTTGCCTGCAGCAAGTAAAGCAATGGCCCAGGGCTTTTGAAGTTTGGGCTCGCGGGGCCGTGCCACCACCAGGCTGCCTCCCTGAATTCTCCAGGGGCTGAGGACAGGCGAGTCCTCTGGGGCCTCCCCTGGCAGCCCTGCGGCTGTCCACCCGACATCAGATCAACCTGTGCTGCGGGCGCCTTTGATGTCAGTTCCCACACTGGAGCCTCGTGCCCTGCCCTGAGGACATGGGCTTTGAAGTTGGCCTGTAAACCGAGCTTTCAGGAAGAAAGTTGTCTATTGTACCTCAGAGCACAGCCAGGCCCTGTAAAGGCACTCGGAATGCCATGAACACCTGATAAATAATTCTTTCTGGGCCCAAGAAAGATTCGTTCCACTTACAGGGGAGGAAAATTCCCTTGACCTTTTCATTGAAGTCCTGTGTGTGTGTGTTTGGGGGCAGCGGGGGGTTGGTTAGAGAGGGTTTTTGCGTCTTCTCGCTGAAGTCACGTGGGACAGGCAGGTTGTCTTAGAGCTGAGCTCCAGTGACTGCTCCAAAAGGGCTCCTGGTCCCTGACCCCTGGTCCGAGGTCCCCCCAGCCAGCCCCACTCCTGCCTCCTGCTGGGAACATGGGAGAAGATTGGGCCCTCTAACGGGTAGAGGGGCCTTGGCCCCTCCAGGCCAAACCCTGCTGCAAATGGCGGGGCTTCCAGGAGGCACAGCCCTGTTGCCTTTCTTTCCTCCCAGGGCCTGGCATGGTCAAAGAGAGGGGGCAGACAGGATTTCCCACCCGAAGGGGTCCCGGGAGTGGATACTGGCTCACATACACTGAGCGCTTACCTCAGGCCAGGCCCTCTGCTGGGCCCCCTTTTGTGTGCAATTGGATAATAGGACGTGGGTATGTGTGTAGTTTTGTGAAAGCTTTCTTTATGGTAAAACGTAACATACATGTAGAAGGTATATAAAATAACAGCACACAGCTCAGTAAATGACCAGAAAACAAACATCTCTGCAGTCACCACCTTAGTCAAGAAATACAAGTTTGCTAGGATGCAGGAAGCCCTGCTGGTGCCCCTTCCTGCTCAGTAGGCCCTCCCTCTCCCACGAAGGATAACCACCCTTCTGACTTTTGTTGTTACTACTTATTTGCCTTTTTAAAAATAATTAATTAATTAATGAATTAATGGTTGCGTTGGGTCTTCGTTGCTGCGCCTGGGTTTTCTCTAGTTGCGGCGAGCGGGGGCTACTCTTCGTTGCGGTGCACGGGCTTCTCATTGCGGTGGCTTCTCTAGTTGTGGAGCGTGGGCTCTAGGTGCGCGGGCTTCAGCAGTTGTGGCGCACGGGCTTAGTTGCTCCGTGGCATGTGGGATCTTCCTGGACAGGGCTCGAACCCATGTCTCGTGCATTGGCAGGTGGATTCTTAACCACTGCGCCAGCAGGGAAGTCCCTTACTTGCTTTTTCTTTATCGTTTTTCTATCTAATCAGGCATCATCAGATACTCTTAGTTTTATTTGTTCTCTGAAATGTGTACAAATGGAATAATAGAATGGAATAATAATGCATTCCTTTGTGACAGGCTTTTTTTCACTGAACATTGTTTATGATATTCATCCACGTAACTGTTTCATTCATTTTGCTGTTGTATAGTATTCACTGTAGGAATATTCGAGGAGTATTTATCCATTCTGTTAAAGGACATTTGGATGTTTCCAGTTTGAAGTTATTACAAATAATGCTGCTATGTACATTTTTAAACATATCTCTTGATCCACGTGCACTCATATTTCTTTTGGTGTATACCTAGGTGTAGAGTTGCTAGGTTATAAGGTAAGCATATCTTCAACTTAGGTAGAAAATGCCAAACTGTTTTCCAAAGTAGTACTAATTTATACTCCTACCATGAACACGTGAGTTGCTTCACATCCTCGTTGTGGTGGCAGCCTCTGAGACAGTGATCCCCGCCTCCTTGCATTCACACCCTCTGTAAGCCCCTCCCCCTAAGTGTGGGCTGGAGCTAGCAATTCCCTTCTAATGAATAGGATGTGACAGAACATAACAGGATGTCGCTTTCTTTCTTTCTTTTTTATTGGAGTATAGTTGCTTTACAATGTTGTGTTCCATACAGCAAAGTTCAGGATGTCACTCTCAAGATGAGGTTACAAAGAGGCTATAGCTTCTGTCTTGGGCGTCCTCTGTTTTCTCACTTGTTTACTGTGAAGGCCATGTTGTGAGCTAACCTGTGGGGAGGCCCACAGGGCAAGGAACAGATGTCTCTGACCAGCAGCCAGTGAGGACCTGAGAACTCACATGAATGAGCTTGGAAATGGGTCCTCCCAGCCTCCAATTAACCCCTGAGATGATTGTAGCCCTGTCTGAAACCTTGATTACAACCTTGTGAGAGACCTTCAGCCAGAGGCACCCAGCAGAGCCCACATTCCTGATTCATGGAAACCGAGATAAATGTTTATTGTTTTAAGTTGTTAAGTTTTGGGGGTGATTTGTTACATGGCAATAGATAATTAATGTACTCAACAAGACTTTTTTTTATTGTCGCCATTTTCAATGTGTATGAATTAGGTTTGTTAGCATCTTCCTGATATTATTGGTATTGAGCACCATTTCAAGTTTGTGGACCCTTTGGATTTCCTTCTTTGTGAAGTACCTGTCAGGACTCTTATCATTATTCCGTTGGGTTATACATCTTTTCCTTGTTGATTTGTAGGGGTTCTAGATGTAAGCCTGTCTTAGCCTGGGCTACCCCTAGAAAGCAGAGCCTGAGGCAAGGGCTTGCAGGCAGAGAGTTAATTTGGGAAATGATCCAAGGAACAGAAGTAGAAAGGAAAGGAGGGGAAACCAATAGAAGCACGCCTTCTCAAGTTGGTCACTGTTATGGGAAACTTGGGCTCATTCTCATTGGGACCTTCTGGAGAGTCATGTAAAATGTTCCTCAAAATTATCCACCTGTGTTATAAAAGAGAAGAGCATTTATCTTCTAGCTCAGGGCCCCCCCTTGACCAAGGGCTCCCCATGAGGTGTTAAATCCTTCACATCTCCAGATCCCACATGTGTGACTGATTCCCATAGGAAGCCCACACTGGGGCAGCTAAGCAGCCCTGGGGCATCACGTGAGAGGTGTGGCTAAAATGAGATCCTACTGCAGTAATATCTAGAATAAAATGGGTGCCAAGAGGATGTGCAGTGGAGCACAAGGAATATCTGACACATAGCCTCTTACAGATGATATGCCTTGTAAATGTCTTTTCCCATCTGGGCTTGCCTTTTCACAGTGACGTTCAATGAATAGATATTACTAATTTTAAGGTAAGCAAGTGTTTAAGTCTTTTCCTTTGTAGTTTGTGGTTATTTGCATCTTGTTCAAAAAGTCTTCCTGTACTTAAGTCATAAAAATCTTCTCCTCTGGTATTTTCTAGGAGCTTTCTTGTTTTGCCTTTCACAGATCTACAATCTACCTGGAACTGGTTTTTAAGTAAGGTGTGAAGTGGGCATCAGGTTTCATTTTTCCACATAGATGCGCAACTTATTGAAGAATCTATCGTTTCCTTCCCACTGCTGTACAGTGCCATTTTGTCATAATCGAGTATCTGTATATGTATGAATCTCTTTTTCTGTTCCATTGTTTGTCTGTCATTGTGCCAATATCACACTATTTTAATTAGTGGAGCTTTATAGTAAGTGTTGACACACAGAAAAGCAATGTGTCTCTCCTGTTCTTATTTTTCGCAACTATCCTGGCTATTTTTGGTCTTTGCCTTTCCTTATAAATTTTAGAACAAACATGTCAAGTTTTACTCCCCATCCTCCATTGGATTTTTTCTTCTATTGAGACTACATTGCATGTAGATTACTTTGGAGAGAATTACATCTCTACAATATGAGTGTCCTAATCTATGAATATGATAAATTCATTTATTTAAACCTTTAAATATTTCTCTCCAAAATATTTTATAGAAAAAAAGAAAAGAATTCTGCTTCTAGCAATGGTAGACAAGGATGCTTTGAACCAACTTTCCTACTGAGAACAAATGGAAAAGGAGGCTAAAATATTTTTGAAAATACATATTTGAAGGCAATGGAGAGCTATTAAAGCTGTGAAAATTTATGGAGCCAAGATCCAGAGGAAAAATAGGAAGCATGAGGTCAACATTTGGTATCACTTTTCCTCCTGAAGTGAATTGTCCATTCCAAAAGCTGTTGGCTGG